AACCTGGCACGAGCTGGCTAACATACCCTCAGTGCAGTTAAGGATGGCATTGCAAAAATCTCCTAAAGGAATGAGAGGAAAAAGAATTTGTTTTAAACAACCTACCCTCTGGAATAAAGAGTTTAAGTTCCCCCATGGATGATGGGGTGATGTAACCTCTAGTCTGCTGATTTCTTTCTATTAGACACTTTTATCCATTTGTCCATCTGTCCATCTAATATCAAACACTTAATGAACACTGTATTGAACATGTGTATTCTTGTTTGATCACCCCAGATTACTTTTTCCATATTGGGATCAGTGTTGGCGGGAGAATAAATGCTACCCTGAATAAATGCTGTTGTACTTCACCTAAAGGTCAAATTTAAAATATCCAACTATGGAGCAGGCAAGGACATCGGCCAATCAGAATGGGCCAGGCCTTAAACCTTTAATAGCTCAGTTGTAAGTAGCCCTTGGGGTCCCAGGAGGGGGACATCACCTATTTACCTTTGGAAACTATTTCTCTATTTTAAGAACCCAATATACAACACAATGTATTCTGGCAGAATGTCACCCCAGCTCATACCTGATACTCTCACACAGACCCAGGACAGCTAAGGAATAGAGGAGTGACCTAAGTTTGGCCAACTGGGCTCTCTCTCCAGGGCTCTAAATATCAAGAACAGAGATTCAAAATAGGAACAGGAAGCTGGCAAGAAAAAGGAAAGCGGATCATGGCAGCTGGGAACTGGCCTAGCCATGTCAGTTAAGGACTTAACATTGCAGAGAGCTGCCTGACACTCAGAGCTGGGCCTTGGTGTTTTTCTGCTGAACATAAACAATTTTATAGAACATTGGTATCAGACAAAGCCATTCTGCGACAATCAAGACAAAAACAAGACCTCTTTTTAATCATGTTCGAATGCAGACAAAAACATAAACATTGTTGAAACCACAAAATAACCAAACATCTCCTTATCCTGACTAATATGAGTGACTGCTATTTCTTTATCAATTACAGCTTTAGAATCACTTCATTATTTCACTTTGTAGATAAGATTTATTAAGATGCCCAATCATAAGATTACTCACACTTCCTGGCAGCATCTAATCCAAAGCAAACCACACTTTCCTGACCCTGCCCCAAATCACCTAACACAAACCTAAATCCTATAGTAAATCCTCTCTAAAACCCTTTTATTCAGAAGTCCCACAGTTCCTCATGGTATGCGTTCTCCCTTGTTGCAACAAGTAGTGACACTATAAATGTGTTCCTGGTGGTTTTGGCTGGAGGACATTAACAGTGGAGTGAGACTGTGAGACTGGTCCGGCTCTCACAATCGGCTTCTCTTGAACCTCTGGGTTCCACCAGAGTCTTTTCCCAAATTCTTTTTTTGGTTGCTTGCCACCAAAGATTGCTAAGTGAAACAAGAACTCCCTTTGGGTCAAGCATAGTGCCAGGAGATAGGTATCCACAGGGTCCAAGGCAGGTACAAGCCCTACTCTCATAAAGCTCTCAGTGTGGTGGGAAAGGTGGACACTGAATAAAGACATGGTCAACAAGCGCTACAAAGGGCAAGTACAGGAGGCTTAGGGGTCCATCTAGTAGGGACAATTACCTGGTCTGAGTGATCAGGGAGGCTTCACTGAAGAGATGATGAATAGGAGTTAGCTAAGCAGAACAGTGAAGCATATTACTCCTGATAGAGGGCGATGGATGGGGTTGGAGAGATTGAGTGTGCTCAGGGTAGAAAAAGAAGGTGGGTGAGGCTGTAACAGGGGATTGAGGCAGGGAGCATTGAAGAGGGCCTAATAAGCCATGGCATAGTTTTAGGGTTTTGAGCACAGACGTGTGGTCAAAAACAAACTTCTAAGACAAATTGATCCTGATCATATGTCAACATTTATTAACTTACTAGTGAGGGAAACAGCAAGATACAAAAAGATGGGCTAGTTCTGAGAAAACCATGGAAATTGAGTAATTCTATAGTTGGGAAACAGAATTAATTAGATAAAGGGTACTGTCTCATTACCCGTGGTCATAAAACTATCAAGCCCCTATTGGTCAGTAGTCATTACTGAGGACATCTGGGATATGATGATCCAAGATGCCAGGCAGGCCAAATAACAATCAGAAATTGTTATAAAAGACATCAAAAAAGCAAATGATAAAGACACATCTGTGACCATAAATTGGAATAATAAGGTTTCATTCCCTTAGCAGCGATGGCTAATAGGTCCAATTAATATGAAAACAGGAAACAAGACCCAAGAGAGGTAAGGAATGGACTCCAAATCACAGATTCTGTTCTTAAACCGGAGCCATTGGTGGAACTAGCCCTTAATGGTCTAGTTTTGGCTAGATCCAAATGGTCCCAAAATGTGCCTGGCATCACGTGGGAGAAAGATGAGTAAGGGCCATAAGATCAGGGAGGACCTCTCGAAGGTGGTGAGGCATGAGTCTACTCTTAAATAATGGAGATTTGGAGCAGCATAGAGAAAAAAAACAAGTATGCTGGCCAGAAGCATATGGGTGTCCTATGACAACTCAACCGGACAGAAACTAAACTCCCATTCCCAAACCTGCTCTTCTTCCTGAATTCCCTACTCAATTGATTCCATTTCTGGTAAACTCCACTCACCACCAGAAATGTTAACAAAGATATCTGAATGTGAAGGAAAACATTTAAGATTACCTATCATTATCTCCATACCTTTCCCTTGCTAGTGATAGGTCAAAACAGATTATTTTGAACACAAGCATGTGCTCAAAGATAAATGGGTAATGGAATGCTGACATCATTGAAACTTTGTTTTGGTGTGTTGTTTTCGAATGTTTAACTCATTGTTTCTGCCAATAACGTATAGCAGAATGAGAATAAAAACAGCAAAATGCGGTTCCCGGCCCAGACCTGAGGCCGTTTTCTCTTGGTGCCCCCCTAGCGAGCGAGATCCGCCTACTCGCAGTGACGTCACTTCCGCTTCCTGCCGCGCGCGGCCATTTTTGCTCTTTCTTTGCTACTTTCCGGTCGAAGAGAGTGTTCCTGCTCTGACGTCGGCGGCCCTCCGTGAGGGAGGCAAGACGGCGGAACCGCAGCCATGGTGAGTGCGTGCGCCCGGCCATAGGACCGGAAAGCGGAAGATTCGGGGTTCGGTTCACTCACTAGCCTGTCGTGGGTTTAAAACGCGCGCCGTCTCGGACGCTAGGCCCGGCGTTAGAGTCCCGTAGTGCCGCGTAGTGCCGGCAGAGAGTCTGATCTCGGGCAGCCGCGGGGTACCAACAGCCTGGCGGGAGGTAGAGATCCCAACTGCTGTGACCCGGGGTGCAGCAGCCTTGCGCGTGGCCAAAGGCTTCTGGTGAACGGAGGGGGCATGGTCCGGCCTGGGAGAAGGAGACCAGCCCACGTGGGAGAGAGTAGAAAGTTGGTTGAGGAAACTTGGCTCCATCTTTTGTATTTTGGGGGAGGGGACCGCTAGAGGATGGTGTGGAACCCTGGATTCGGATCACCCTCCCTTACCATACTAACCCCATTGCTGATGTTCTGGAGAGGGAGATCTCCACGGGTCTGCGCCTAGTGCTCGCCACGGAGTTACACGTGCCAGACACCTGAAGGAGCCTTTGGTATTTGGGGGCTCTGGGCAATGTGGAGGAGTCTCGAGCCCCGGCCTGGAGTACAGGAAAGGCTGGCTCCTCCTCCTGCGAAGCAGTAGTCTCAAATCAGAGGTCCTGGTAGCACCACGTGCGGCTCCTCTCAACTCTTGATGGTCTCTAACTTTTAATCGAATCGTGTAGCCTGAAAGCTGGTTTGGGTTGGCACGTGGTAAATTCCAAAGCATTTACACTTTCATAATGAGGTTTAATTCTTCCACCGGAGCTTGGATCCCAGCGGGTACCTTATCCTGCTTCATTTCCCCAAACCCCTCCCACCTGCCCCATTTTGAAGCTAGTATACTTGGCTGAGCCTAGACTTAGAAGCTTCTTAACCAGTGCTCATCTTATGCAGTACCATGAAAAGTTTTGGAATCAATGGTCTCAGGTGGAACATAAGAGAAATTTCTCTCAACTGTAAAGTGGGAATTACACTGCATGAGAATATTGTGAGGATTAAATTAAACTAATAAACACCTAGTCCTAATACTTGGTAGGGAGTGTGATCACACAGTTTGGGGCTGTCTGGTGTACAGGAGACCAAACTGGTGAAACTAGGGGTTCATGTTAGCTAGTGGTATGATTTTATTCACTCATTTAATTAACCCTTTAAAAATTAAGAAGTGGATAAATGCAAAATGCACACTAAGCAAATTTCAGCTGCTGTTTATAAGATACATGGTTTGCTTTTAAAGATTGTGCCGACCTTCTGTTGTTGACTGCAATAAGATGATGGTTTCAGCTCCTGGAGTCTTCCCCTTTTAATGCACTTGATGTTTATTGAGAGCTGAGAATCCTTAATTCAGAGGTGGGTGGTTAGAAACCACAATGAAAGTGTCTGACATTTTAAAAAGTAATTTTGAGGAGTGATTGGAATTAAAATGTTGGGTAAGGCCTTATTGTGTAGGAGGAGGGTGACAGTGTTGATGAGCATTAGATTTTGATAAAGGCAAATATGATTTCTCAGGTAGCTTCCAAAAGGATAAAGATAAAAACTTCAATCTAGTAGACGGGGAAATAGCGGGAAAATAATAAACCCAAAGAAAGAAAAAGAAACAACGTGTGGGACCAATAGAAAGCATAAAAGAAGGAAGATTGGAACCCAGTATTTACTTAATTTACACAGTCAATACTTAAGAAAATATAGAAAGGGACTAAATGCTTCAGTTAAAAGACAGATTGAAGTAAAAAGAAAGGAAAAGATAGGCCAATTTAAAAAGTAGTGTAACCTATATAAACAAAGAAATGGGTTTCAGGCATCTGTAAAGAGAGTGGCTAAAAAAATAAGGGAGAAATATGTAAAGAGTGGCATCTGTAAAGAGAGTGGCTAAAAAAATAAGGGAGAAATATGAAAATGACATAATTACAAGAAGACAAATATGCAATCATATAGCATTTAAGTATATAATTGTTAGATCATGAAGCCAAAACATCAGTATGAAAATAGGGGATTTGAACAGCACTACTAATAAACTTGATCTGGTGGTCATAGTGAATGCGGTAAATACTACACCTGACAAGTATAGAAAACAGTTTGCAAGCAAGAAACATTTGTGCAAATTAGCCATCTACTGGGTCATAAAGCAAGTTCAGCAAATTTTAAAAGATTGTTAATAATACAGACCATGTTCTCTCAACCATAATGCAAATAAATTAGAAATCAGTAACAAAATGTTGGGAAAGAAGATATAAATAACTAGGTTAAATAAAAAATTATAAAGGAAATTCAGAAACAGAACTGAACAATAGTGAAAATACCACATACCCCAGGGCATGTAGGATACAACTAAAGTATTGCTTGAAACCTAAAAAGGTAGGAAGAGAACAAAAGGACAAAATAACTCCAAAGAAAGTAGAAGGAGAGGGGGGAGCAGAAACTGCTGGAATGAAAAATAGATCCTAATGCTGTAGGACAGACAAAATCAAACGGTGATTCTTTGGAAAGTCCCCTCCAGTGAGGTTAATTAAAATACGCAAAAAGGCAACATGAAGGAGATATAATCTGCAGACATGAAAAAGATAAGCTATTAAGCACAATTTGATACCTATAGACATAGAATCTTATGTTAAATGAACAAATGCCTGAAAAAAATATAATTATCAAAACCAATTCAAATAGAAATAGAAAAAACTGAATAGTAAACTAAGTAAAATTTTTTAGCCTGAAAAAATTCTAGACTTAGTTTTTTAAATAGCTTTATTGAGATAATTTACATACCACAAAGTTAACCTGTTTAGACTGTATAATTCAGTGGTTTTCATATACTTAGAATTGCGCGACCATCACTGTATTGAATTTTAGAGCATTTTTATCATCCACAAAAGAAACTTTTTATAAATTGACTGGTGGCTATAAAATAAAATCTTATTTAAGTTGGTTTTATCTCAAGAATGCAAAATTGGTTTAATATTAGAAAAACTAAAAATTAAAGGAGAAAAGTCACATTCACCTGAGTCAGTACAAAAAATCCGATAGAATTAAAAACCAATTCATTTAGAAAAGAAGAAATTCTTAGCACACTTGGAAATAGTGAATTTTTTTAATCTGAAGTATCTAGAAATAAGTCTAATAAAAGATCGAGGCTTTTGGAGAAATAATAAAGCTTTATTTAAAGCACTTAAGAGTTAGGTATATATATTGTGAATCATTGACAAATTCTGCATCCTAAAGGCATTTTTGTCAGAATTAGCATTACATCAAATCTACAATCAGACAGGTTGTCCCAGCAGGCTTTTTTGTGTGGGCCTAGAAAAGCTAATTCTAGAATGTGTGACTAAAGAGGCCTTTTTTGCCCACTTCTTGCCCACTTCTTCAGGGAACTCCTCCAACCATCTAATTCCTCATCACTCAGGCCATTGATGTCACTTCTGCTGACATCATTCCTGTGTCATCCCCTTTTCCTCTGGGGGTAGGTCATTTTGGTGTCCTTGTGGTCTCAGACAGGGGCATATGCAATAGTGAGTGTTTCCACCTGGCCATCACCCACAGGTCACCACCTACAACCACGGTCCAGCCTCCAGACCCAGGATTAGACCGGGCCACTATCAGCAAACCACTCCGTTCGTGCAATGGAAACGGGCTGCACCGAGATTATATATGTGCAATATAAATATATATTTGTATGTAAATATGTATTTGTAAAAAGAATCACTGGGAAAAACAAATGATGAATGAATGAAAATGCTTTTACACTCGAAAGGTGGTATGAGGTGGAAGGAATGAAGTAGGGCACCCAATGTGTTCCCGGCAGGGTTATGTTGAAGCAAATCCCAGTGACATAACATTTTATCCATAGGAATTTTATAGTAGATAGCTGTAAAAGAAAGATTTTAACAACTGCACTGCCACTAAAACACCCCAAAATTTAATACTAAATTAATATCAAATATCTAATATTAGAATCAAAGGCTTGATCACATTTTTTCTTTTTTTCCCCCTACAACTATTTGATTATAGATGCTTTGTTCTTCAAGAGAGGTGATGAGACGTTCTTTTTCGTGATGTTGGTAGCTATTAACCAGTGTCCAGATCCATTAATTAATTTATGTCTGGATTGATTCGTTAATATGGGTTGTAAGGTGGTTATATTTAATCGTATCATTTTTTATTAGGTGGGATAACAATACAAGAGGAACTTCTCATTTCCTAGTGATACGATCTTTAGAAGAGAGGCAGGATAAATGCTTTATCATACTAGTTTTCAAAACACTGTTAATTCACTAGCATAGCTTTGACTTTGGAACCATTTGATGTCATATATTTGAAAAATAAAATTTAAAAGAATTTTTTTAAAGCAAACTGAATACAAAGGAACCCTAATTGTACATCAAGTTGATTTTAATTTAAATTTGACTGGATGGCTTTAATCGAATATGTTCTAAGAACAAAAGGAAATTTTTAATTTAAATTTGACTGGATGGCTTTAATCGAATATGTTCTAAGAACAAAAAATTTATTGGTAGAAGTAGTACTGGTATAGCAATTCTGAAACCATTTTGAATGTGTCATAGGGTCAAATAAATGAGAATATTTTGATGTTTTGGGAACCAGAGTTCTTCCTGAGCACAGAGGAGGTTTCGAATGTTGAATGGAGAGAACTTTGTGCTGCATTTCTGTAAATTATACTTTAATTTTGATTCAGTTAATTTAGGGTGGAGTATGAAAATCCAAATTTAAATATTACCCCTATGTGACTCAAATGGATACTGAGCCATGGGACCCCATTTATAATCCATTTGCTGTGATATTACCAAGCATTAGACTAAAGAGAGGAAAGTACATGAGCTTTAATATACATCATTGGAATATGTAATTGCTAACCTTTTCTTAAAATTCTAATTCAGTTTTTCTAAGTCATGAGTGTGGGGGTCAGTGACAGTGGTGTGTGTGTGTGTTTAGGGGTGAGAGAACAGGGATGCTGACCATTGGGTCTCTCAGTTGTTATTTATTTAAAGTATTTTGTGACTTGTCCGGAAATACTCTGGCTCAGTTTGGCTGATGCTTTGATTTCCCCCATAGACTGAGGCTGATGTAAATCCGAAGGCCTACCCTCTCGCAGATGCCCACCTCACCAAGAAACTATTGGACCTCGTTCAGCAGTCATGTAACTATAAGCAGCTTCGGAAAGGAGCCAATGAAGGTAAGGCACCCAGAGAGTGCTCCAGGGAGAATGTCGAAGGCTCCTGTCTCTGTCCAGGCAGGGTCCCTGGTCCAGATTTCCAGCATGGAAACAGGGCTGGATACTCTTGGTTGGGACCAATGGGAGGACTTAAGAGCAGTATTTTGGCATTAGATTTGAAAGGTAATGGACTAGAATTTTTTTAGATTGACCCGTTGTTAACATTTTGTCACATTTAACTTATAATGAGAATGAGAGCGAGGATTTGAACTTGGGCAGTGTGGCTCTGGAGTCTGTGCCCATGTCTGGTATTCAGCATTAATGCAGAGTGGCCTGTGGGCTAGCACTGGGCCACAGAGATAAGCAGTCAGGAGCAAACATTTGGATGATACTGTGTGGTGCACGTCTTCGGTGAGTTACATGTGTTGTGAGCTTTCCAGAAGTTTTGGTCATGGCAGATGGGGATGGCAAAACCCTCACAGATCACAGAATTTGAGAAGTGCTGCACTACACTGCTTCATGCTGGCAAGGCTTGTATGAAAGCTGTTCCAGTCGACCAGGCAAGAGATGGTGGTGACTTGGACGGTGTGGTAGCAGAGGAAAGAAGTGGTTCGATTCAGGATGTGTTTTGACAGAACTGATGGGTTTGGTGCGGGGTTTGAAAAAGGCATTGAGGATGGCCAATTGGTGATTAAATCACTTACCACTTCCCGTTCCTGGGAGTTCTTGCCAGTTTTCTTGCACCTGTGTTTCTCTTCCTTGGAAATTGCTTCGTCGTGGCTTCCCTGCACAAACTATTAGCCTCATGTCATTCTCTCTGTCACCTATTAGCCTCATGTCATTCTCTCCACAGCCACCAAAACCCTCAACAGAGGCATCTCTGAGTTCATTGTGATGGCTGCAGACGCCGAGCCCCTGGAGATCATTCTGCATCTCCCACTGCTGTGTGAAGACAAGAATGTGCCCTACGTGTTCGTGCGCTCCAAGCAGGCCCTGGGGCGGGCTTGTGGGGTCTCCAGGCCTGTCATCGCCTGTTCTGTCACCATCAAAGAAGGCTCACAGCTGAAGCAGCAGATCCAGTCCATTCAGCAGTCCATCGAAAGGCTCTTAGTCTAAACCGGTGGCCTCTGCCACACTCTCCTACTGACTCCTCCCTCCGGGTTGTGTATCATATTTTCTGTTAGCATGTAGTATTTCCAGCTACTTTCTATTGTTATAAAATATTGTAATACTAAGTCTGGTTTTTACACTTTTGTATTATTTTTGTTTTGTCTTACAGGTCGTCATCTGCCCCCTACCCCTACCCTAATCTTTCTTTCCATTTTCTGCTGTCTTTCCTCCCTTTCAAAAAATGAACTAATGCCCAGAACAGGCAGAAACAGAGTGGTGACACCATTCAAAGGCAGAGAAGAGCCAGGATTGAGATCCACTTCCAGCTTTCAGGCACTAACTCCCTACTGTGTGCAGGACATGATAAAGTAACCACCACCCACTTGGTATCCCTTGTGGCTGGCATACATAATTATTCCATACTTGTTTAAATGATCTGGGGGTTTCCTTTGCTTTCCAGGGGATTATATATCATTTGGGGAGGAAGCATGTATTCTGCGAGGTGGTTCGTTGTGTCATTTGCTAACATGCCACTGCTGTTTCCTTTTGGGAATATGTTATGTTCCCCCCTAACTCCCAGCTGTGCCCCTGAGGGTGACAGGACAGCACCGTACCAGAGAGATATGTGCGCAGAATTCCAGAGGTGGCCTAGGCGAGTGAGTTATGGGGCTTCAAGGAGTCTGGAGGGGCAAGAGAAGAGGCTCAGCTGGTTCTGGAATGCAGGATTCGGGGCAAGTCATGGAGACCTAGAAGCTACAGCAGAGATGATGGGTCCAAGGAGACAGCCTCTGGTGACTGCAGATTTCTTCAGTGGACACTTGGTACCAGCTCTGAGAGCCCTTAACCCTATTTCCTGGGTCAGGTGTATGTTCTTTATCACATCAGAAGGACAGTGCTAATGTGTCATTCTTGTGAGCATCCTAGTAAAGAAATATATTCATAGTCCAATTTAAAGAAAGTGTCATTCTTGGTAGGTATCCAGCTAATACCTGTTTGAAGAACTACTTAGCATTATTAGAGTGGTTTTAGCTTCTCAAACTTTCCACCAAGAAGCTGTGGAAAGCCATTTCCTACCAGATGATTTCCGGTAGTTCAAAATGATGGTTTTAGCTTCTCAAACTTTCCACCGAGAAGCTGTGGAAAGCCATCATTTCCTACCAGATGATTTCCGGTAGTTCAAAATATCTAATAAAGACTTAATGAGATGTTGTTTTGACTCTACAACAAGGATTCTCACCCTCAGCAGTATTGACATTTTGGGCTGGAGAATTCTTTGTGGGGTGGGGGGTGCTGCCCTGTATGTTGTGGAATGTTTAGCAGCGTCTCTGGCCTTCACCCACTAGATGTCAGTGGCGACCTTAACCCCTCCTTCCAGACACTGCCAGATGTTTCCTGGTGGCAAAGTTACCCCTAGTCGAGAATCGTTTTTGCAGAATTAGGGCTCCTAATAGCCCTTCACACATGCTGGAGAGTGTGGGGAAGGGGGATTGGTATTGGTGACTGAAGCCACTGCCACCTTACCTGCTTCTTTTACTTTTTTATCTAAGGGTAAGTGCCATGAGAGCCTGACTCTGCTGTAATGATCAGGTTGATGAGGATATATTGGGTTTCCTCTTGGCCAGCTTGGGCCAGTGCACACCCACTCCAGTAGGAAGCATGCCTGGGGAACCTGGACAGCACCCAGTCCTGTCGAGGCCTGCTCTGTTCCTGCTGGGCCCAGTCATTTCCCTCAGCTCAGCCCAGTGTTTGTATGCTGTCACTTCCACCCCAGCAGTTTTATATTTCTGGATGGTGGAGTTTGAGGTAGTACTTCTTTGTATTTTCTTTTATGGTATATGTGTCTTTGTAATCATACTCTAAAAGACAAATAATTCGGGGGCCAGAGGGAGATAAATCCAACCTCCACCTGAAGAGAAGCCAGGCCTTACCTACGAGATCCCTAAGAAGCGTGGGGCAGGAGCTCCTGGGGTCTTCATCCCGGGCGCCCAGTCTACTCTGAGGTGTTCCCACAGCTACACGACAGGCCTTCAAAGCGCAGGGTGTCAGTTTGATCGCTTGAAGACTGGCTTTTCCCTGCTCCTAATGGCCTCCACTGCCTGCCCTGTGTCTGCCTCCACCATGTTCTGTCTTTGCTTGGTGTTTGGTATTTGGTTTCTGGAACACTCCACACCTGTTTCTTAAATTCTTTGTACTTCATATTTACTGCGCTGGTGGCTTTCTCCCCATGCTAGTCTTAATTCAAGTATCACTTCTCTGGGGCCTTTTCTAGCTACCCCATCTTGTTTTCTCCCCCTCAGCCCTGTAACATTCTATTCAACTTGTCCTTAACTAATTCTGAGATTGTTTTCTGATAGCCCTCACTAGAGCTGGAACTTATGTGATGCCCTAGCATCTCCAGCAGTGGCCCAACATATGCTCCAAAAGTATAGAATGAATAATTCTTAAAGCCCAGACATGGAAACAAGCAGGAAATCTGGTCACTTAAATCCAGCCACCTATGAAGTAGGCTGCAAAATTTTGCATATATAATTGATTTTGGAGAAAATCCAGTGGCTTTCCTTAGGTCTAATAGGGTCCTCTGGCCCCATACACACTGGTTCAGAACTTCTGTTTTAGAATAAGTTTCTTGAACGCCTTTTCCCAAGTGGACCTATGATGAAGGAATATTTTTACATTTCCAATCTTGTTAAAGAGATTATTCATCTGTAGTATTAAGTACTAAACAATGCATTTCCATTGTCTTTAATCCCAAATTAAGGGAAAAAGAGGAGTTTGTTATAGGCACTTAATATCCCTTAGTTTGAGTGTCTATTAATTTTGAAAAATCAGGTATATGCCTCCAGCGTTCACAAATATATCTGCTTACAATGTGGTGGAGGTGGGTGGGTATAATTGCTTATTTTCTGAAGGAAGGAAAGAAATTTTTATTAGCAAGTCAATATTCTCCACGATGCTCTGTGCAGCCAGTCCCAAGATGCGCACCCCGTGATCTTCGTGGAATCCACGCCCTGCATAGTATCAGCACACACCAACTCGGAGCTGGTCTGCAGCAGGAGTGTCATGGGGTGACGTGTGACTTCCAAGTTTCCAAGACATTGCAGCTCCTGCCTTCTCTGGATCACTGACTAGGAGGGAAATCATAACCATATTATGATGATTTAAGTGGCCTCTGAAGTGTCTCTTAAGGTTCCTAGCCAAAAGCTAACACCAACTTTGTCTCGTGTACTTCAGGGATTTTAATTTATAGAAATGACTAATGACATGGAAAGGTCAATACTATCAAAAAGAATTTATTAGGTTTCCCAAGAGAAGGAGGCACACCACGCCACGCAGGGCCACAGGGGGCACTTCGGGTTTTGGTTTTGGTCAGGCAGCAGAAGCAAGGGAAAATCTTAGGCCACAACCTTTACTGGGGTTTTCATGGCAAAGGCAAGGCAGGGCAAGTAACAGTTTAGGACTGGCTAGTTTGAATAATTCCCATGGGCTTTGGGAATTATAAAGGTGGTTGGTCTCTGGTTGCCTGGCTCTGGGATTATTCAGAACAGGGACAATACTGGTTTGGTGTGTGAGATAAAGGAGGTACTTGCATGAGAAGTGTGCTCTCAAGTAGGTAACTACCCTTAGGAACTAGCAAAATGTATCTGGCATTTTCCAGCTGTCTCTCCTGGGTCTGTAAGGACCCCCAAGTTGTCAAAACATTAGCTACAGAAAATAAACGATTAATACAGCCTCCCTGCAAGTGGATCATCCAGCCTTAGTAGAGCCTGCAACAGACTGCAGCCCTGGCCAACATCTTGAACCCAACCTCAACTGACTTCAAGCCAGAACCACCCACCCTACTTGCTCCCAAATTCCTTATCCACAGAAATGGTGAGAGAGAATTATTGTTTTTAAGCCAATTGTTTTGGGTACAGTTTGTTACACAGCAATAAACAACAAAGGTTGGAGTGGGTGATAAAAAGGTGAGGACGTCTTGTGAAAATAGCAATAAATCCGGTCATGTCAAAACTACAGGGCCATAATGCTGGAAGTGCTGGCAGGGCCCGCGGGTGAGGTGTGTCCTGCTGCTTCAGAGTGCCCAGAAGTAAATCTCATGTAGGACTGGCTTTCATATGACGTGGTTACAGTGAGGATAATTATATGCTCGGGGACAGTTTAGGCTCACACCAGAAAGGCTGGACAGTCATCGTAGCTCCTGCACGCATGTAACAGGTGTGTTTCCCCCACGATATAGATTTGAGGTTAAAATTTCTGGATGAAGTGGATGACTAATCTCTCCCAGAGTTCATGGTCCTGCCTTTTCTTCTTATTTTTTAATAAGACATTAAAACATTACGGGAGATATTCCCTCTGCATCTGGCCTGGACGCGTATACACATGCGCACACGTTTGTTTCGTATAGTTTTGGCCGGATTGGCGCTGTCCAGATGCTGACCCACATGGCCAGACGGCAGACTGCTGGGGTGCGAACGCGCCTGTGCGCCCAGCCTTCCCCGCCGCCCGCGGTGCGCATGCGCAGATCCCTTTCTCCACTCGGCTCCCAAACATCACCACCACCTGGCGGAGTGAAGGATGGTTGCAGCGAGAAGTTTGAAGGGGCACAGCTAGTACTTATTGAGTACCGTGTCCGTTTACGTGATTTCTCATTTTATTTTCACCATTCTGCGTTATTAGTGTAAATATGAGGAAACTGAGGCTCAAAAATGCCAGGTCCCACGGTCACTTGTATGTATGCGATGGAGCCAAGATGCGAATTTATTAAATTTAACTTACGAGCTTACAAAAGCCTAACAAAATTGTGTTTGTACATGTTTCTTCTGGGGAGCTCAACAGCAGAGAAGGCAAGCATCATTAATTTACAGAAAAACAGATCACACAGCTGCCATTTACCATAGACCTCTCGTGGTAATTTTCTATCATTCACCTTACAAGTAAGTGTTTGTTTTTTGACCCTTGAACTCTCATTCTCTCCATTTCGTAAATAGAACAGAAGAAAAGGAGCCTAGACTTGGATAAAGACCCGCAGGAGTGCATAGAAAAGCCTAGAACTCTCTCTAGGGCTCCCCATCTTTAGCCAGGAAATCCAGGGTTGAAATCAAAGGCTCAGATGGTACTCATTCTTACCTTCCAACTTGTGGTGACTAGCCTAATTCTAATCTATCCTGATAGTATTAGTACCCCTTCTAGAACCGAGTTTTATAGCATGCGTCATTTAAGAATGGTCTAATTCCTCAACGTGAGTGAGCACTTACTGTTAAACGGTTTTGCGTTACCTTGCTGTATCTTCAAAAGCATCTTTCAAAAAAGTTTTTTAATTTTTCAATTGACATTCAGTAAAAAGCATCTCTTCTAATTCGAGAATTTTCCTCCCTCTCCCCCAAATAAGGAAAGCAACCTAAACAAGAATATACATCTCCTTTCCAAACAAAAAACACAAGTTAAAAAAAAACTTACAAAACTCAGAATGAAGAACCCAAAACTGAAAGTCTCTTACAAGTGTAATTTGACCCTTCCTACACACCCTTCATGAGACCCTCACTCTAGTCCTGAAGGACACAGGACTTACAAACCCTGAATCTCGAGCCATCCTCGGAGGATGCAAACCCTTGCAGATGCTTTCTTTTCCTCTCAAGCTAATTCTTCAAAAGCAGTAGCAGCAGAAAGAGCAGGAAAGGGGCCAAGGGGATGGAAGAGGGATGGGGAGGGGGGAGAACACAAAGAAAAAGACACTCCCTACCTACTTCCCCTTATAACACTAGGACCCTCCTCTTCCCCTTACCCTAATGCTCCCCTGAAAAATAAGAGGAATAACTCATTTCACTTAAAAGGAACCCACATTCTCTGGTCAAGAGAAAACACATAGATCTTCATATACTTGAATGTCGCATTAAGAGGAATGGAACATGAGGGGTGTGCTTTGCTATGTGAAGCAAACGGGTGACCAGAATTTGAAATGTCACATTCCTATTGCTTCTGAAATCTAGTCTTTAGATCTTAATATGATTAAGATCTAAGACTAGATTTTAATCATATTAAGATCTAAAGACTAGATTAAAGGAAAACAGGTGGGAGGACAGAGGATCTTGCTAGGGCTTGTCATTCCTGAAGTATGTTCACCTGTTCTTGTCACACTTTCCCCTACTGTTAACTGATATCTGTTTCCACTGTGATGAGGTGTGTTCCAAGTGGGAGAGAAAATTAAGCTAATAGTTAACAGCAAGTTTGGATGTGAGGCTGACACATCTTTCTCTTGCACACTAAACAACAGTATATGATACAAAATTAGGGCTCTTTATTCAGAGAGTAGAATAAGGCACAGCGAGGAGGGCTACACTATCTCCATGGCAACAGAAAGTCTCATAAATGTAAAGTCCTTGGCTTCTGTCAGGCAGACTCTTCCTGGTTCAGGAGAATGTTTTTTGATGAGCAAAACTGGGCAGCCTGGCTAGTGTTGAAGGGCGGCTGGCTGTACGGTCTGGTCAGTCCTTCTGGAAGTGCTTACTGAGCGTGTCCAGCAGCTCCTGCTTCCTCATCCCGCCCTTTAGCCCATACACCCTGCAGGCTTCCTTCAGCATGGGCACGGTGAGCTTACCCAGCGTGCCCTGGCTCACATGGGCCTTCAGTTCCTCTTTGGTTAACTCCATCTTGGGCCTTTTGCTACTGGAACCTTCATCATCTGGGGCAAAAGGTCAGAAGAGAATAATTGGAAATGCTACCAGTGGTATCCCAGCTACACTGCACAGGGTGCTCATATGATCTGGGCTGCAGTCAACCATCTTCCATAAAGCCGTGCTGCCCACCTAGGACACCTCGGGAAGACAGGTGTCTTTACAAGGCAGTTTCATGTAAGCGTAGATTCAAAACTATCACACTTAGGTGGGAGTTAAGAGTGGTGTGAGTGCCATCGGTTTACTCAAAACTTGCTCACGCTAAGTGAGTAAGTCATTCATTCCTTCCCTCCTGCCTTCAAAAAGAATTTAGAGAGCACCACATAGGTACCAAGGCACCATACGAAGTGATAAGAATGCGGGCTGACCGAGGTAAACAAGAGCATACACAAGTGTGAAGAGCTATGACGGCAGTTCACACGGGGCACTGGAGGAGTCACTTCCAACGCAAAAAGGAGAAACGCCATGGCCACCACTGACCCTCTCGCACCTCCACTTCCCTCATCGTTTTTTCAGGCAAGCAAGGCCCACATTTGGCTTTTCTTAACCAAAGACAGCCAAAAGGATTATAGCCTAAGCCAAAACTCTTCCTAATGGTGAGGAAGTCATAATGGGCCATCCTGAAAAATGGGTGAGCCACGGTAGAATACTCTGGATCCAGCAGTAAGAAAAAGGGCAGTTCAGTAGAAAAAATATGATCAAGGCCAAAAACTGGAAGTTCGCAGGAAAAAAAGTCAGAGTAAACTACATTTTAGTCAGAACTGGAGAATGGCAAATCGTAACAATATAATTTTCCCTCTATTTTTTGTGAAAATTAAAAAAATAGTAAATAAAGTCCAGGATTGGTGAGAGCATAGAAAAACACACCCATCCCTTCTTGGGCAGTGTATAAATTATATCTCTTTTTCAGAGGCACACTGGCACTTTTTATCAGAATTTTAAATGTTTACACCTTGACCCAGAAATGTCAGTGCTAAGAATCTCTGGGTCAACTCTTAATGATCTGCTCACACAAGCTGACCAATGCGGTCCGTGTTCTCTGCCACGTAACTACCGATAGAGTGAATACGCTATGCACATCTATCCAATGAAGTGCTCTACAGCCTTACTTTTTTTAATGAAGTAGAAACGTAAGTGTGGATATAAATAACTGTCCATCATATACAGCTGAGTAACAAAATAAACTAGAAAAAGACATGAATACTATCCCGTTTGTGCTGAAATATATATGTCTGTGTGTGTTAATAGATTTGTATAGAAATTTCTAAAGGTCCTTATCTTCTGTAATAGGAGCATAAAGACAACTTTTTGAAATAATCCGCTGGACGTCCACTGGCTTCTTACCTTGTTTTCGCTTGGGAATTTTTCCCTCAGGATTATAACCTGGTGGGTAGACGAGTTCCTTAAAGTTATCCACGAGAGGACCCAGTCTTTCATCCATTGCTTTAACCTTGGGCACTAGAAAATCAAAACATAGGAAGAGTCACAAACCCTGGCTTCATGTCCAGTTCTAACTCTAGGGGACCGGAAGAGAAAGCACCTAATGGGGCAGGGGGAGGTCAGGGAAGGGTCCACGAGGAGGCAGCTGACCTGGCCATGAAAACATTCAATAAAGTCTTTCTAACGTTTACTAAGTACCTTCTAATGACTGTATTTAATGAGCACTTACTACAGCCAAGCACAGAGAGGTCAAATGACTTGCCTGAGGTCAAACGGTTAGGAAGTGGTAGAGCTGAGAACTGGGGAAGATTCTGGGGATCAAACAAAAGTCTGTGCCCTCAGTGAGCTTACAGCCTTGTCAGGATAAGGAGGCGGTAAAAACATAGATGCAATAGAGCTGGGCAATGCCATGAAAAAAGGGACTGTATAGGGCACACTGGAACCTAGGAGGAGTCAGGAAAGAACTTTCTGGAAAGCTGATTGTTCTTCCTCAGGTAGCTATTACTCCAAGCAAGAGAAGGGATAGGGATGAGAAACAGCATGCAATATAGAGCTTGAAAATAGGGTGTGAGGAGGGCAGGACCAGCAAGGAGGCTGAAAAGTCAAGCATAGCAAGGTCACGGAAGCACGAAAGCCTGCCCAGGATTTAAACCTCATCATGAGCACAGAAGAAAATCGCTGAAGGGCTATGCAGGCGAGTGACGTGATCAGACCTGCATTTTAGAAAGATCGCCCTGACAGCCGTGAGGAGTGTGAATAGAAGGCGAGTGAGACAGAAGGCCGAAGCAGTGTGTGCTGTTGCGGGGCGGGTAGGGGGTGGATGGGACTGTAATCATGAACGGTGAGAGACCTGACAGCACCTACTGATGGAGCAGAAGGCGTGCGGGATGAGTGGCTGGGATGGCAGGAACAGTCTCCAAGACAAATACAACAACAGTGCCCACCTCGTAGTTACAAGGATTAAATGAGCCAGCGCATAGGACAACAGTGCCTGGCACACAGTAAGCACTCACTAAATGCTATGGATTATTTTTGTTAACTTCTACCATCACGTAGTCATGGGGTGGCCTTTCTCAGAGGCAGGTCTCAGAAGCCTGGCACCTTTTCTTCCTCTCGCTGCAGAACCAGCCAAATGTGTTCCTGGACAGTCTCAGCTAGTCTAGAAAATCTCTCAAACATGGGCCGGACAGTGAGGCTATGTCTTTAGAGGGGGCCGGGAGATCATCCGCACTGCTGGTCCAGAGTGAGATGGAGAAGGAAGCCCCTATGACGAGGACTTCTCAGGCACAGCCCTCTTACATGTCAGATCCACCACTTGTTCGGGCTGCATCAAATCCAGAGCCAAGGCCTCCAGGTTCCTGAAATGCTGCTGTAGCACTGGGTTCTCGAAGCTGTCACTCCTGTTAAAACAATAACATAAAAAAATTAAAATGCAAACATTCTAAAAATTAAAAATAAATAAATAAATAAACCCGACTGCGACAGCTCAGGTCCAAGGTTAGCTGAGAAAAGCGCCCCAACTAAAAGAGTTGGGAATCTTGTCTCTTGAATCAACTTCTCTTTCTTTCGATTTTCCATTTATTGTCCGATGCTAGAGATTCTAATTTAAAAGCAAACAATCCTTGCTCACCTGTCTGTCACTGGAAACTGCGGGCAGAGATAGAGATGGAGGAGGCAAGGCCACGTAAGAACAGAGAAAAGACGAAGGAGAGATGACAGGAGACAGGGAGGTAATGGGCCTGAGGCCTCTTCCTTCCCATACTCAGTAGCAGCAATGGGAGTAGAAAGAGAAAGAATCTAGGGCCAAAAAGACCTAGCTCTTCCAGCTGGATGAGTCTGGGCAAGCTGCCTCACTCCTCTAAGCCTCCGCTTCTTCATCTGTAAAATGGGTGCAATATCTAGCTTTCAGGGTTCTTATGAAGAATGGATGAGATAATGTTGGAATTTATCTAGAACAGTGCTCGGCACAGAGGAGAATCTTAACAATGCTTCTTCCATTTGCCCAATAAAAGATCAGCAGGAGGCTACATCTGGAGGGGAAGGTATTACTTGCCCCAAGGGCAGCAGATATAGGAAAGCAGCCTAAACACAAAGATGGAATGGGAAAAAAATTACGCTTGGTGTCAAATTATGCGGGTTCTCAGAGATGGTCTATGTGTATGTGAAAGCAAATGACTTGAATTATATAATCATTCTTTTAATCCTGTAACAATTTACATTGGATTTACTTATTTTCACTCATTGTGTGAGTAAATCAAGGAAAAGACCAACTAAGAATTTTCTCCTTACTGCCGCCTTTTTGAACTTGCTCAACTAATCTGGCTTTCTCAGCACAATAGGACAGGCCAACCAGCTGTAAGCATTTAGCACAATTCCAGAGTCACTATAATAAGACCTTTCAGACTTTATGTTGCTTTTAAAAAGTTATAATCAGTTAACTGAAAAGAGTAAAATCCCATTCTCTTGGTCTAGGCTTAACTCAAATTTCCAATAAGACTTTGAACTCAGGAGGCATTTCCAGAAGAAAGCCTGAGACCGACCCACTGCTCACCTGTATTTGAAGCGGAGCTTCTGAACAATAGCCTTCATGCTGTCTATCTGCTCCCGGTTTGCCATGACTTTTTCAGTAAAGGGCACTTTCCGTTTATCGTCAGCATAGGGTAAGAAGACGAGCTGGAAGCCTGAGGAAGGAAGATCAGTTTTCTGAGATTTGACTAAAGAAAAGTTTTCAGTGATTGAGTTGTCGTTTGTCTTTCAGCTCCAAATTCACCCTTCTATGTCCTGGGAGTCAGGGGCTGGGACCCTACACACCCCATTTCTCCTTCACTTACTGATTGCTGTTAGCATCTGCCTGGCAGACTTCCCCCTGGAGGGCGACTCCAAGGCAGGGGTGCTCCTTCCCATATACTTCCTGTTCCTATCAGTGTCGTCCCAGCTGAGGCTCTTTACCCCGCAGCAGTAGTCGGTTCCGCCTCCAGCTTTTCTGATCCACCTAGAGAAAGCTGGACAGCGCCTCCTCTCTCAAGGGCTCAGTCCCAGCCTCAACCTTCCTGCCTCTGAGCTCCCCACTTTGTTCCCCACCTTCCACCAAATGCTGAAAGGGAAGAGGTGACGGTTAGCCGGCTGATCTTATTCTATTACTGGCTGGTTCTAGAAAGTCTGGAAAATCTAGACAATGGAACCAACTACTGCTGCCAGGTGAAAGGCCCAATGCTGACAGCACTGAGCAGGAGGCAGGAGAAAATCCCTTCGCTTTTCTCTGCCCTGTGGTCTCCCTCCAGCACCTGCTCTTGACAGAGCCTCACCCAGAGTCAGCTGGCAAAGGAGAAACTGGGTTTAGAGAGTCTCAGCCACAGCAGCACAGAACATTAAAGGGTGAACTTGGAGCTGAGAAACGACAGCTTAATAGCTGACGGACAAAGCTATTCCTCAGCATTCTAGTGACCAGGGTTAGAAATAGAATATTTTCAAAGAATTACTTTATAAAGTTAATATTTATTAGCATGGTTAAAGAAGAGAGATGATGATCGACTGCTGGCTACTCTGTGCTAAGCACTTTCATGTTTATTAACTTATTTCAAATGTGAAACAACTTTGAGAGAAAGGTGTTCCATTATTCTTATCTTTGCAGATAAGGAATATAAACGGAAAGGTCAAATTATTTGCCCAAGTTGGCCAGTTTACAAGTGGCAAAGATGGGCCTGAAACAAAAAAATGTAAGCTTTCAGACACGTTGCACAAGATAAGGTCAGATCTGACTTCAAAATCCAAGGCTTTTCCACTATACTTTGCTGCCCTGTGTACACAGGAGATAAACCAAAGATTAAACGCTACAAGCGTGCCAAACAATGGCTTTAGTAAAGAAAGGTGTTAGTAGAAAGACCCCATGAACTTGTGTCAGTAACCCGCAAACAGTCCCTATGCAGTCAATTCTCAACCCATGCTGTGCAGTGCACAACCATATTCGGCAGCCTCGTGCATCAAATTCATCTGTGAAACCTCAAAAATACAGACTTCCCAGGACCCATTTCTGGAGGCTCTGGTACAGAAGGTACATTTGGGATCCCAGGAGTGGCTCCAAAGTCTGAGCCAGGTTCAGAAGCACTGAAAATCTCTCTTTCACATACCTGGGGGAGTCACCTGAATTTTCTGCTCATCCAGCTCCTCTTCCTGTGGCACCAAGGCCACAAAATAAGGGGAAATGTTCTGGCGGGGGGTGTACCTGCACACTGCCATAACCTCCTTCTCCAGACACTTGGTGAGTAGAGCACTGAACAGGGTTGAGCTCCCTGGAAAAGAAACATCCCAGGGGTCAACGCCTTCAAGGTGTCTCTATCTTTCCCTCTTAGCCCATATTATTAGCCTACAATTTCTCTTCCATTTTCTTAAAAGGGCTTATGATTCGTTAGCAGGTAAGGGGTGATGGACCCAGAGCTGAGGGGAAAGTCGGGGTAGCAGAGGCATAGAAAGGAAAGGAAAAAGAGATTGGATGCCTCAAACGCTCCATTTAGGAGTGAGAATTAACATCAGTTTACTTTTACGATCCTTAGGCTAACGACATAAGCCCCATTTGCTAATGAAAACCAATCAGATCAAATCTGGGGGGTTCGTTAGTTATAGCACAAATAAACACAATGGCCAAATTCGTAACATCTTTAATTGCCAACACTAGGAAAGACGTTCGTTTTTCAAACACTATCTGATACCTCTAAGAATTCCACAGGAAGTTTTTAAAATACTAATTCCACATCCCTTCCTGGATATTCGCAATGTATCAGTTTATTACAGGTCCTAGAGAAATCTCTTTAACCTGGTTTAGTCTCCCATTTCCAAAATTTATTTGAGCATGAAACACTTTCAAAATACACCAATCGCACACCTTATACAGTTCCCAAGCAGCACCCATTTAGAAGCTGCTGCTCAGTAAGTTGCCTCCTGTGTTACTCATTCGTTTACCCTTGGTCTGGGCCACTTGCCATTCATTAGGTACTCCTCGGGGTACACGAACAGGGAGGGCCGCAGGAAATGGTGCTTCTTCAGCATCGTCAAGGGCTTGAAACCAATGAGAATCAAACCTGGTTCATCGAACCGTCTTAGCAGTTCTGTTTCCTCTTTCTCTAGTACAATCTGGCGACTCCCATAGATCTAAAGGTGGGGGACAAGAAAGGCCACATAGACAGGCTACATGGAGATGCAAAGTTGTTGCCACGTGACACTAACGAGTCAAAACCCACTCTCTTCTAAGGAGCAAGAAGATGGCTCTCCAGGGGTACTGAACTTCTACCACAGGAAATTAACATTTACTAAGAGCCCAGCAGGCGCTTTACCACTTTATGTCTGTCATTCAACTCATCTCTGTACAATCCTAGACATAGATGTAAAAATCTGTTTTATAGATGAGTGAACTGAGGTTCAAGGGATGGTAACTTGCTCCAGGTTATACTACTAAATTGGGCTTTAAACCCAGATCTGTATGGTACCAAAGGATGTGCTCTTCAAACTTTTACTCTCTCCCTCATTTAACAAGTAATGAATGGTCAGCATCATCCTTGGCACACAAAAGATGCTCAAACCATACCTATTTATTGAGAGGACCTGTGTCAGGTAGTGTGCTAGGTCTCAGTTAGTGTGGGAGGTAGACACACACACAAACACACACAAATGACTTCCAAACTTTAATGTTTGCATTTCGATCCTAAATATGCAATTAGTAACAGAACTTGTAACAGTCAAATTTGGGTTTTATAAACAAAAACAAAGCCCTCAAGGTTTTGTTTGGTTTTTTGGTTTTTTTGCAGGGTTGGGGAGGTATTGAATCAAGAAAGAAACTCAGAGACTGGAAGAGCTACTTCCTATGAATAAACTAACATGGAAAACTAGTTACTTCCAAAATGAAAAAGGAAATTTCTTCTCTCCTTCAGAAAGCAGGGCAAAACATTTTGGCTTGAAATTTGGGCTCCAAAAAACATCTCATCGGCTTAATCAAAATTATCTAATTTTAGTCACTTAGTTGATCCTTCTAGGTCCTGAACTTATACAACATCTCAGATTCTCTCCCACATTTTGCGTAATCAAAAAGGAAGGATGATTCATTTAATTTTAATTTTAGATATCAAATCCTTCTACAGAGCGAACAGAGGTAAGAGAATGAACAAAGATAACGTTCTGCATTCTTAGTTGTCTTTCAGATTAAGAAAGACATACACGTATCATTTCAAAGCGCAGGAAAAATTTGGTTAGTTTGGCCAAAACAAAAATCTTTCTTTTGCCAAAAAAAAAAACTTTCCCCAAAAAAAAAAAAAGAGTATGCCTCACACCTAACTCGTCATCATCTCCCTAGTCAACTACCAAGCATTTTCTGCTATTGTACCTGAGCAAGGAATTCGACCTAGAAGACACAGAGCAGCACGTGCTGAGTGATCAAGGACTACAGTCTTCACTGACATCTTTCAAACACTTGGTCTAACTTTTTAGCTCTCAAGGTATCACTGATCTAGGTTCCTAGTTCCAAAGAGCAACGACTTTGTGTTTTAACGGCTTGGCTAGGAAGACACACACAAGAAACTTATTTAACTGGTTAGGTTGATCAGTGTCTCCCCTTCCCAGTTAACTCTTCAATGAGACAAAATTCGGTAAGAAGGCAGGCAGACCTACCTGAGACCTCTTGGTGTCGCTAGGCAAAAGCAAACTGCCTGTATTTACATTAAATGTCCGTGTCTTGGTTTTCACTGGTTCATTTGTTTCCCGATAAAGCTTGATGGGAGGAGGTTTGAGAGCCTTCTGAACCATATTATAAATGCCGACGGTGAGCGCTATATCTTTGTTGAGCTTGAGCTTCAACCTAAAGGAAAAAAATAATAAAACAGCATACACTGAACGATGATACTTTCCTATCTAAAATTCCTGCATGGTACCCAAGCTTTAATTTGCTTTATCCTCTCTGATAGTACTAAACGAGCTCTTAGAATATAAATATAATGCATTTTAAAAATACAGTGGAGTTTGTTGTAATACCATCTCAGGGTTTATACCACAAAAATTAGTTTCAAAATATATTAACTATTTAAAATAATGGCAAAGAATGGACTGTAATAAAAATGATTATTTTTATTGAGCCCAGCAATATACCAATCCCTTTATAGCTATTCTCTCATTTAATCATCATAACCCTGTAAGTACTGTATTGATTATCTGTTGTTTCTGCTTGTCTAGTATTCCTTTCCCCTTCTTTTTCATAATGAAACTCCAATTTTCCTTTGGGAACCAGCCTTACCCCACAGTAGTTTTGGGAGAATGTTAACCAGGTGCTGTGCCCTGCCCTGGCCAAGTGGTGGGCATACCTGATCCAGGCTCAACCCAACTCCTGAGCGTCTGGGACTTATGCAGTGACCAAGGAAGGGCACAGTTGGAGGGAATGTTTTCTGATAGTGGCACCCCAAAGACACTATCATTAGTTCTTGCTATCTAGCTCTCTGGTGCCACTCTGGTTCCTATTGTACACACGCTGTGCAGGATTTTGTTTGAATATGCTGAATTAGCCAAGAGTCAGTTTCTGTTGCTTGCTACCCCAAAATCATATTACTGTCCTTTTTACAGATGAAAACATTGAGGCTCAGAGATGTTATCTAACTTGTTTAAGGGTAGACAACTAATAAAAACTGGTGTTCAAACACTGTATGTCTGATTTAAAGCTCATGTACGTTTCCATTAGGACATATTACTCTACAGTATTTATACCAACATCTTCAGGAGAAATAGGACCTTCCATAATAATGATAACGTGCAAAATAGTTACAATACTGTGAAAAAAAGCACAACACAAAATTACACAGTCTAGCACGTGTGGAACATTCTCTAGGATAGAAAATATGTTGGGCCACAAAACAAGTCTAAATACATCCAAAAAGCCTGAAATCATACAAAACAGGTTTTTTTAACCAAAATGGATCTAAGTTCGAGATCTACAACAGAATTCTGTGAAAACCTCAAATGTTTAGAAATCAAACAATACACTTCTAAATAATCCAAGAAGTCAAAGAATAAGTCACAAAGGAAAGTTAAAATTATTTTGAACTGAAAAGTGAAAACACAACATATCAAAAGGATGCAGCTAAAATAGAGCTCAGAGGGAAATTTATAACTTTAAACTCCTTTATCAGAAAAGTGTCATATTAATAAGCCAATCTTCACTGTTGTGTAATGTTTAGCAGTAAGTATTGAGTTTAAAGAAAAGTTTAGAGGTTACAGCTAGTTCAAAGGTATATTGATTCACAGAGTGGAAAGAACATAGCTTTGGGGCAGAGCCCTAACTAGAAATATTGGCTCCTGGAGCCGGCACCTAATATGCCCCCAGATCAATCTGGCAATGCGTGACGTGGCCCATAGGTGAGTACTCGTACCAAATGGCACTACTACCACCACCAACCATCTGGTGGCTTCCTACTTTAAATTATTCTGGCTTACTAGGTGTTAAACTCGGTTGTCTAAAGGCTACTGAAGGAGAGCTGACAAGAGTGTAACCAATTAAAAACTGTGCAATCTTCAAAAGTAATTTTTTTTAAACTGCTGTATTCTCAAAATTATAGCATCTTGGGAAAAAGTACTGCCCAATGTGGTCCACTCTGGCCTTGGCCTTCAAGTGACCTTGGTTCTATTTCTAACCTAAAATAGCAATGCTATTACTCCTCCCAACCCATCTTAAATTTTTCACATTTATAAATTAGGTACCTTTCGACCTTGAAAATTTCGTAACTCTAAGACAGAGTTACAGCGTAACATCACACAGTTTATGTCACACCTTGCCGAGGAAAATGTGAAAACCCACAGTGCAAAACAAGTTGCTTGATCTTTCTTAGGGTTAAGAAATATTACTAATGGGGAAGTTTCAATCTACCTCAAAGGGTCGTTATTAAAGATTAAATGAATTAATTAACAGGTTCACCACGAAGAATGTAGGACAATGCCGGGTACACAATAACCATGCAATAAAACAACTATATTATTATCTTTTAGCAAGAACTATGAGAATTTTCTAGACCTTTGGCCTAAGGCATTATTAGCTCTCAAACAGCTCCAGTGTAGTATTATTATTCATATCAAGTATCCTATAACAACTCTTCCACGAAATAATAGCGAACATTTATTAACAATTACTACATGCCAAGCACTATGCCTAGATTATTCCATTTAATCATCACAACAGTCCTATGAGGAGGGATCAGTTTTGCTCCCATTTTACTGAGGCTCAGAGAAGTTATACATCTTACCTCAGGCCACACAGCAGAGAGGCCTGGACTAGAATCCAATCGATCTGACTCTATTTTATGCTCCCGGCCACCCTCACCAAAATGTGTAGTAGATTTCCAAATTGCAGTAGTAACAACACCCCATCATTTCAGGAAGGGGGAAGAGAGCAATGACAAGACCATAACTGTAGCAACGAGCTGGTTCATGGTTTCCTTAAAATAATTCCATGGGTTTTCTAGTAGAATATCAGTAATCTCTTGAAAACTGCTCAAAAACCGATGGCCATATTCCCTTACCTTGAGGAAACTAGCCCAAAACAAAAGCCTGATGCTCTTTAGGAAGAAATGCTGAGGAGCCAAAGCGCTCTGAAGGAAGATAAGCCAACAGTCCGGTTCCTACCAGCCTCAAGTTTGTAAGAAATCAGAATGACACAGTTTCAACAATTATAATAACTAACGTTTTTGGAGCTTTTGCTCTGTACCCGGTACTACTGTTATCCCTAATTTACAGAGAAGAAAGCAGCCAATGAACTACTGAGTGCAACTGAGGCCACTGTAAGGCCTCAACTGATTACCCCATGGAAATGGCGGGCTATGCTATTTTGAAGAAATACCCTAGCTTTTTCCATAGAAAGAGAAGCAAACAGTTCGTGCTATCCTGAAAGAAAGTTTTTTAGAGGAACACCGTGAGGCAGTGACGTGACCCAGAGTTACGTTTATGAGTAGCCGGGAGGTCAAGCCATCTATTGCCTAGGACCAGGGACTGTGGGCAGGTGGCCCAGGCTCAGTGCCCACCTGCTGAGCGCACGCTTCTTGGTCTCCCTGGAGAGAACCTTCCTCAACAGGTCTTCTAGCTTGCTCGATTCCTCGAAGTGAACCCCGAAGTCTTCATCCTCGGCTATGCTGATGATATCTCTGTAGAATACGGATATGTCAAAGCCTCCATGTTTCTTCAGGTGCATCAAGTCAAGGAAGATGCCTGGGCAAGGAAAGACGAAAGAGAGGGGAAACAATTTTCAGCAAGAATTTTTTTCTGTTAAGCTCAAATATGCTTTTAAAAGCTCCCAAAGAACTAGACCAATTAACATGTCAGGACTTAGAGAAAGGGCTAAAGGAATCAATTGGCTGCTGTAACGAGTTCAGATAACTTATTCAAAACCACCATTCATGGCAGCATTAAAGTCACGAAACTCTGGGAGAGTCTTTTAGACAGCTAATGGCCTGGCCATTTTCAGTGGCTTCGCTTTATTCTTTCATTTTACCGTGAATGGTGAAAAGCAAATGTTTGACGTCGGCTATGAAGAAGCAATAAAATTAAGTGCCAATTTAAAACAAGGAAAATGCTGACCTGTGTCACGAAGATCCCCAGCTTTGGTCCTGGCCCGGCTGGCTTTGGCACTGTCATTGCCATGGGGGTTGTCTTCATTGGTGAACAGCATGATCCTCTTATGGCTCATCTTGAACTGGACATCGCTAAAGAGGTTGGCACAGACCCACAGCACTTCATTTAGTGAGTAGTCACATCCATGGCCAATCATGTCTTGGAAATGTTTTTTTCCCTGCTGACCCTTAAACCGGTCAAGTTCTAGCACTCGTTTAGCACCTGATCAGAGAGAGGGGGTCAAATGAGCAGAAAAGTCAGGACGGTGTAAGCAGCTGCCTTCACAAGGCTAACAGAAGGGCCTAGGGTCCCTTCCTCACCTCAGAGCTATTTACCCTACATAGCAAACGTCCACAGCCCAGTAAGAATCCCCTTGTGCAAAAGAGCATACTCTTAGTCAAGATGTCATTTGCTTCCTTCTCCATATTCCTCTTTGTTCAGGGTAGTGACCTTCTCATGTCAGAGAAAAGTCGATCTCAGAATACTACCGACCTGGATTATCCAGCTCCTGTAAGACGTAAATATTTTTGAAATTCACTGAGTTTTTGTCCTTCTCGGTACCATAGAACACCACTGCCAAGAGATCTCGATCACTGCTTATGATCTTATTGGTGTATACACTCTTGATACACTGAAAATAAAAAGAACAATTCAATTAATATTTAACTAGTTACCACTAAACTTAAATGCTGTAAGTAAGTGCCTGGCACATAGTAGGTGCTCAATATATATTTGCTAAATTTGTACATGGCATTAGAATAAGCATGACCTCTACCTTCAGGAAATTCATGAATCAGTGAGAGTAATGAGCATATATATTACGCTATAAGAAGTATAAGCGGTCCTTATCATAAGGAGCTAGAGAATTAAAAACATTTATATACTCAGGGAGGAAACTCTGCTACAGGGGGGTGAAAAGCCCAGTACTAGAATCAGAAAACCTGGATTTTAATCTCACTCGAGTCACTTATTTAATTGGTTGGGTCTGGACAGGCCACTTGAGCTTTCAAGTAGCTTGATACCAAGAAACGGAACTTACATATATAAAATAATTACATGTATAAAACGTTGAAGCTAACGATAACTATATGTGACCTGAAAATAAGTCTGTAACTACTGACAGCATCTTCTGAAATAAACTGCGCTTAATTACACAACTATAGACATCAGTATTCCAGGAAAGGTCTATCTACCTGTTTAAAGTAAAGCTGGCATCTGGTAAGTCAGTATCTCACAAGAGTTGGCCAGTCCTGGAAAGCTATTTAATTCTGGGTACACTGACAAAATTAAGTTCCTAAATCTGCAAGGCTGAGAAATAAACCAACTATGATGACCCCCTCCATGTCCTGCCTGAGCCTCTAACCAGCCCTCCTCCACAGTGTTCTGTTGTTAAAAATAGAACTTAGAGTATGTCTAGTAATTGACGATAACCTGCAGGGCAAGTAGTCATTGCCATAAATATTTTAATAGACTCTTTGAGCAGACTACAAACTTTTACAAAAATTTGGTGAGGGCTTCTTAGGTTCTCGGAATTAAAAACACAAAAACAAAAATAATTAAAAGGGATTTCAGAAAACGTTTTTTTCATTGCTTCTTATCAAATACATTACGCTCATCTGTGAATGTCTCACTTATTCGCTACATACGACTGTTTTCTTCTGGGTTCTTTAGGCATGAAGGGTTCCAGGAACACTTTGAAACTACAGGTAGAACTGTGAGTGATCTTTTTGGGGAGAGGGTACATAGCTTTCATCACATTACAAAGAGAAGTCTATGACCTGAAAAAGGTGAAACCAGTGCTCTTCAGAGAGTAATCTCGAAACTAGCAACCTCAGCATCACCTGGGAACTTGCTAGAAATGCAAATTCTTGGTCCTGGCTCCTGAACTACAGAATCTGGGGCGAAGCCCTATAGTCCATGTTAATAAGCCCTGCTGGTGACTCTGATATAGGTAAAAGTTTGAAAACCACTGCTTTAAAGTTAAGGATTTTTTATTAATTGTTTTTAGATGCAAGATATTCCAAGTTGCCAACTGCAAGAAATGTTTGTATACAAATTATAACATGAGAAGCTTCTGTTTGGTGCCAAATTCTGAAAACATAAGACATGAGATATATATATCTCTATAAAAATATTTCTCTATGAATAGGGATCTTTTTAATTGAGATGAAATTCACATAACAAAATTAACCATTTTAAAGTGAAAATTTCAGTAGTATTTAGTACTTTCACAATATCATACAATCACTACCTCCGTCTAGTGCCAAAACATTTTCATCACCCCAAAAGCAAGTCTCAAACCCATTATGTAGTAGCTCTCCATTCCTCCCTCCCTCTGACCCTAGGAACCACCAGCCTGCATTCTCTGTGGAATATCTATTCTACATTCCATATAAATGTAATCATGTAACATATGACCATTTGTCTGGCTTTCTTCACTTAATATAATGTTTTCAAGGTTCATTCATCTTGTAGCATGTATCAGTATTTCATTCTTTTCCATGGCTAAGTAATATTCCCACTGTATGTGTAAACATTTTGTTTATCCATTCAAAATGTTTTGGAATGAGACAGAGGTGGTAGTTACACAACGTTGTGACTATACTAAGTACCTTTGAATTGTACACATTAAAATGGTTAATTTGTTATGTGAATGACATCTCCATTTGAAAAATGAAACTATTTAATCCTCACAACAGCTTGATGAGGAAGATACTATAATTCTGTCCATTTCATGGATGAGGAAACAGATACCAAGAAGTTGAGCGGCTCTTAGATCATACAGTTTGTAAGAGGCAGAATCAGGATTCAAGTACCTGTTTCTTATTGTATTGGGGATATACATACCTGGGATGGGGACTTGCTGGGTCACATGCTAATTTTATGTTTAACTCTTGGAGGAACTGCCAAACTATTTTCCACAGCGGCTGATCCATTTCACATTCGCACCAGCAACGCAAGAGGTTTGCAATTTCTCCACCTCCTTGCCAACACTTCTTATTTTCCCTTTTTTAAAAAAATTATAGCCATCCTAGTGTGTGTGATACCTCACTGTGGTTTTGATCTGCATTTTTCTAATGACTAAAGATGCTGACCATCTTTTCCTGTGCAGCCCACATCTACTACAAGGGTTAATGCCGGAGGTGGGAGCAATGTATTCACAGGGTCTGGAGTTCAAATCCAGAAGAAAAAGTTCTCCAAAACTGCTACTCTTTTTCAGCTGCAAGTATAGGTGGTCATCCTGGGAGGCTGACCATCATTTATCATTCACAAACAAAATTTTCAAAGAGTCCATATTTTTTTAAGTGGTATTACTACTTTGAGTTTTTTTGTTTGTTTGTTTGCTTAAATAAAAAGGTAGACTTACCTGGATACTCATGTCAAAAGGAGTCAATTCATCTTCACTCTGAGACTCAAACATGGCCCTAGAAGCATCAACCACAAAAATCAAACTATCTCTTCCTGAATATTTATATTCTCCTATGGGGAAAAAAATAGAAAAATGTTTGCTCTATGTTCACATTTAACATGTTTATTATTCATATAAAACAAGAAAAGCCCAGTAAGCAGAAGTATAACCTGATGAATTATTATAAGGTGAACATCCTTAAAACCACTACCCACACCAGGAAATTCAATCTTGCCAGTCACCCTAGAAGCCCTCTCCATGTCCCCTCTCAATTAGAATACCCACCCTCCTCCCAAGAGTAACCACTCTCCTGACTTTTAGAAATCACTTCCTTATTTTTCCATATAGTTTTATCATCCAAATAAACATTCCTAAATACTAATTTTGACTTTTCAAAAATGTTTATGAAGCCTCTTAATCTATGGGTACCCCTCCATCTTCTGTCTCTGATAACTTATTTGTTGAAGAACCAGGATGTGTGTCATGCAGTTTTCCACCTTCTGAATTTTGCCAACTATATTCTTTCGGGGCAGATCAACACAGTCCTCTTTCCTACTAAGGACCTAGAGAAGCTTCATCAGATTCTGGTTTTCTTTTTTCCTTTCTCTGGCATAATTACATCATGGGTGATGTATTTTTCATAAAAAGGCACATGATGTCTGGTTGTCTCCCTTTTAACACTGCTGCTTAATACAATAAACTTAATTACCCATCTTTTTACAACAATATGGCAACATGTGCCAAGAGCCTTAAACAAAATTCTACCTTGACCCAGGGAATTCCGCCTCTTAATAAGATATGGAAAAACCTTTATGCAAAATTTTTTACGATGATGTTTATTAAAGAAAATGATAATTAAAATACACAATAGGAAGTAGATGAATAAATTATACTACATTTAAAATGAGTTATCAAAACTATATATATGTGTAGATGGAAAAAGATTACATATTATATAATATAAAGATATTATATATCTAAAATAAGAAAAAGGCAGAACACAAAATTATGTATATATGTTTTAAATTCATTTTGGAAAAAGACTGGTGTAAATTAAAATTTAAAAATGTGTATGCACCACAATTACAATAAAAAATCAGACACTAAGAAAAACATATACGTAGTTAGAAAATGTGCAGAATGAAAGATATGTGAAGGAAATATGCAAAACACCAAAATGCTGGTAGTAGTTGTGTTAGGGTGGTAGATTATACAGATTACAATAAACTTTCTCTATTTTTTATATTTCCTGTTTCTCAATTTTAATAAAAACACTTAAAAAATTTCTACCCAGAACTCAGTATGTCGAAGACATGTACCCCTTATTTCTGTCTTTGTCTTATGTGTTACTGTGTTGGCTGAACATACACTCCCAAACCTGGAGGGTATGGTGAGGGAATGACACTTGTAACTGTGTTACTAATGTTTATTCTTTGGTTGCTGCAGTTATTGTATGTTGAAAGCATTTTTATACTGAGGTCCTAGAATGAGTAAAACTACTTTCCTGGGTGAAGAAGAGTCTTACTTGAGCCGCCGAAGGTGACAAAAGATACCACTGTTCAGGGTCATTTATTGGAGCTCAACAGATGTCCATCTACCGGTGTCCAGCAAAAGTTTAAGGCTAAGAATGTCCCATAGACTAGAGTAGGACGTGAATAAAAGAGCCTAGGGTAGCTCTGCAAAGCTCAAAGGCAGAAAAGTATTTGAGATCCTTGGGAGAGAGACAGGCAGGCCCTTAAATAGCAAAGGACACCCAGTAAATATAGGCAAGGAAAGTCTTTCTTCCACACATGGAAGGGTACATGCCAAAGTCACCTACTACCTGCTTCAAGGCTCTCCTCTTCTTCTTCTTCTTCATCACCCTCGTTTTTGTAATAAGACTCCCACTCTGACATGTTGGTTACTGCTCACTAGGTGAAAGAAAATTAAGATCAATAACAAGCAAATTTAAACCTAAAAATATCGACTCCTAGGCTCCTTTGAGATCTGTCCAAAGGGCTCGAGGTTACTCGTGAGGAATGCGGATACTGGATTCTGCTGCCTCGAGAGCGCTTGGTAACTGAGAAGCAGAAGTAAATGGGCATGAGGATCATCTAGCCGCCTTGCCTTGGCTATGCCTTAAGGACGCTTCAGGGCCTGTGGTGGCCCAGGGTGGCCGCTCTGACTGATGTGGAGGTCACGTTCCACCTCCTGCTCCATCTGGACTTGAGGGATTCCCGCTCCAGGGTACTCAGTTCTCTAGCCAGACTCATTGGTCTTCATCCCGCCCCTAAAATCTCTCCCAACTCCTCTGCCAGCCGCGCCCAGTGGGGGAGTCTCAAACGCAGGCGGACCTCCAAGGCCGGTGCCGCGTCCCCCGGAGGAAGGAATGGACTAGAGGCTGCCTCTGCACCTCACGTCAGCACACTTCTGGCTGACGCGGCCCTGTGGCCAGGATAGGGGGACGCGCAAGACTGAGGAGGCGAAACAGAACCAGGTTAGACCTGGCCAGCCAGCAACAACACAGAACACAGACCGCTCCGGCCTACCTCGAGCGCAGGGACAAGATCAATTTGGACACCAGTCCCGGCGCTGCGCAAGCGCGGGTTCCGGATCGCTCTCTCCCAATCAACGCCCCTTACGTCATCACGCATAGTGCGCACTTTTCCTGTCAAGCCGACACGCCCCCTCCCACAACCTGCTTCCTATAGACATCCCTAACACCACCCGGTCCGCGAAAGCTCCGCCCACTCCAGCGAAACCCCGCCCCTCACCTCCCGTCAGGATGGTACGCACAGGCGCGAGAGTGCGTCCCCGCCCCCGCCCCCTCTTCCGCGGGGTCCCTGTCGGTCCCGGCTCTGTCACCTCACAGTAGTCGTTGCCCGTGGCGGGCGCGGGGGCAGGGGCAGCGCAGGGCCGCCTCTCCCCCGCCCGTCAGGCCGGGCCCGGGCTGGGTCGCCCCCGCTCCCTCTGTTCCCCACCCCAGTTGGATACGGGAAGGTCCAAGCCGTTGCCGGGTGCCAGAAGGACTTCGTGGCCGACGCCGCCACGGGTCCCGATGGATCCGCCGAATCTCTATCCGGTGAAGCTCTACGTGTACGATTTGTCCAAGGGCCTGGCCCGGAGGCTCAGCCCCATCATGCTGGGTGAGGGGGCTGGGGCGGGTGGGAAGGCAGGCCGGAACCGGGCGAGACGGTGCCAGGACGACCGGCCGAGGTGGGGAGGCCTGGTCCTCGGTTCTGGGGGAGACGCAGGGCCCAGAGTTGGAGAAAGCCCAGTTATAGAAAGGAGGGATCTGAGGTTTGGGCCCCCTAAGCTCCACTTTCCTGTCTTCACGTTTGAATCCAGGGGGAAGGCATGGAGAGGAATCACGCCCTCCCCTAGCCTTTCACAGCCTCTTCAGCGGAGGGGTGGGGTAAGCCGGCCCTGGGTCCCTGTGACTTCCCTGCCTCGCTTGGGGAGCCCTCTACGCCCCTTCCTCAGTGCGGCGCTGGGGAGGTGAGGATGCCTGCCGCGTGGTGCCCCTCGTGGTGAAAGGGACACTGCAGAGGAGATTCCCGGGTGGCCCTCGGGGAGCCTTCCCTCCGTGCCAAAAGGGAAACTCTTTCTGCAGTCTCTTGGGTAGGTGGGAAGAGAAGGCTAGATCTGCGCAGGGACCCAGCCGTAGCCCCAGGATAGAGATGAAGGCAGGTCTGCTGGAGTCCGAACTCGAGAATTCACCAAGTTCGGCCTGAAAATGCGGTCTTCTCCACAGTTTCTAAGTTAATTGCTTTTGCCCAGATGGTAAGAAAGCAATTCTGGGGGAAGACTGGATACTGTTCGGTTAGTAAGGATTAGTAAGAGAACGATTTCTGTTGTGCTCCATTAAATTACTTAACTGCCAGGAGAGAAAATCAGTGTAGATCAAACCTCATTATAACCCAAATACCAAAATGTCTTGTGTAACATAGAAACTGTGAGGTTTGTCATTCCAGGTGATATTAGGCAAGAAAGGATCCTAAGAATTGAACAGCTTTGGCAACATCCATTTGAATGGTTTTTCCTGGTTTATGGAGACATTAGAAGATGTTTTAGCTCATGTGAGTGAGGTCAAGTAAGCAAGGCTGCTTTTGAGTGTTTTTCAATATCCTTGAGTTTCTAATGTGCTGTAGTGAGTTGAATTTAATCTCTTAACCCTGGGCCAATGAGTGGTTCCTATATTCAGTTCCTATATTCAGCTTCACATCAGAACTATCTAGGGTGCTTGTGAAAAATACAGAGATAGATAAACAAACAAAAACTTATAGACACAGACAACAGTATAATAGTAACCAGAGGGAAAAGGGATTGGAGATGAGGTAGAAAAGGGTATAGAGGGTCAAATATATGGTGATGGAATTAGATTTGACTTTGTGTGGTGAACACAATGCAATGTACAGATGATGTATTATAGAATTGTACATTTAAAACATATAATTTTACTAACCAGTCACCTTGATAAATTTAATAAATTTTTTAAATGAAAATATAGAGATACCTTCATTTTCAACATATATTGTTAAATGGGAATAGAAAATACAAAATTAAAACAGTTTTTAAATATGCAAGTGTGTATTTAAAGCGAAGGATAAGATTAATACTTGGCTTAGGCAAATAATTATTTAGAAGAATACATAAGAAATTAGTAACTGGTAGTTTATGGAAAAAGGAACTTGAAGCTGGAGACAGGAGTAGAAGGGAGACTTTGCTGTAACTTTTTTGTACCTTTTGAACTGTGTACTACATACATATGTTAATTATTTAAAATAAGCTAAGTTTTAAGTATATAGATTCTAGAACTTCATTATACAAGTACTAAATAAGACTCTTCTGGAGTTTTGGTCCAAAAATCTATGTTTTTAAAAAGCTCTTCAGATAATTTTTAAGTAGCCAATCCAGTATTGGACAGAAGTTTGGGCCTGGATTATTAAAATGAGTAAAGCAAATGTGAAAGCAAAACTTACAAAGTCATTGTTTGAGGAAGGAGCTAGTTACTAATCAATGTCATCAATCAAGTTCTAACTAAACCTCTTGGAATGGAGCCATTTGGTTAGGCATTAGATATTTCCTAGACCCCAAAATAAAAGCTTCCCCTTTACACTGGACATTTTTTTTGTTCTATTATCTAACAGTTACTGATTTTAGCTGAAAGGGGCTTTAGGGATCATTGCTTCATGATTGATTCAACAGATATTTATTGAGTTCATACTGTATGCTCTCCGTGTGTTAAGCTTAACTGAGGATGATATAAATGAACAAAGATGTTCTTTGCCACCATGAAGCTATTTAGTGGGGAAGACATTAAAAATAAATAAGCAAATAAAATCATTACAAATCGTGATAAGTTCTGGGCTATGCAGGAAGCAAACTGGGTGCTGAGACAGAAAATAACAGAAGACTTACTTTAAATAAGGATTATCAGAAATAGCGACTTTTAAGTTGGAGATGTAAGGATTAGAGAGAAGGCAAATCTAATTCTCTCTTCTCCCTTTCCCTTTTCCCCATATTGCTTTCATGCCTTTTTCAAAAGTAATATAGGGTCACCAGAGCTAATAGTCATTACTTTCTAGAGTTGAAAACTGATGGAAAATGGGCATTGTCTTACTGCTTCATCCCATCCAGACATCACTAACCTTCAAGATGTGTATGTCCTAGCTTTGTTAATAGCCATATATTGATTTCCCTTTCTTAAATATATTTGAAACTTTAAAAAATCAGTTTGTTTCCTGATTTTTGCAATGACTTCTAGGAGCTTATTAACAGCATCTATTGAGAGCTTACCATGTGCCAGATCCTTTTTCCTGAGAACTTCACATGTGTTATAATCCTCACCACATTTTTGTGAGCTAGGTCCTGTTATTACCTCTGGCTTTCTGTTGAGGCAGAGCTAGGTTAGGAAGACAGGCAGTCTGACTTCCAGAGCTTATGTTCTCCATCATTTTGCTACCCCGCCTCTACTGTATAAATGTGTTCCCTTATAATTGATGCGAAGTACGTAACTTGTTCGTGTTTGTAAAGGCATCTTTGGCCAAATGTTTCAAGTATGAATGAGATAAAAATCTGGGCTCAGTGCGTATGTGCCATTCATAATCATAGATTTATGATTGTCCCTCTTACCTTTATTTTTCTAAACTAAATTAGTGTGACCTCATCAGCAGTACCCTCTTATTTTTATTATAACAGTTCCTCATTATAAGACCCCCATCTAGCTCTGTTACAGTCGCAATTGGACTAGATAAAGCCCAATGTAATTCCCTTCTCCCCAGAAACAAGGTAGACTCCACAGTTTTACTCTGTCCAGTTTTCAGTCTCCTAGAATGCTTCCCATAGAGGTATTCCTGTTCCACAGCCCTTCACTCACCATGCAAGTGGTCCCAGAACTACCCTTAGGATTCTAATCCAGCAGACAGCCCGATGGTACCTTTTTCTTTTCATAGTCACCACTTGCCTAAGATAATTAGCTATTTATAATTGTCCTTCAGTTCTTCTTGATAATTTTGGCTGCTCTTTAAATTTCTTGACCTCTTTCTGTGCTACAGTACATAGAGATGAATGCAGAGGGTTTGGGTTTTAATTGTAGAAAGAGGTATTTTCTTGATTGTTTTCTGATCTGAAGTTTTTGTACATGCACATATCCTGAAATCGCATTTATTTTTTTTTAACAAGCCTATCTCAAACTGTTCTCAGGTTTAAAGACTGGGGGATATGGGGAAGGGGGAATTATTTATATACTGGGTGTGTCAGAAAGACTTCAGCAAGAACCTTGAGCTCTGGAGGGCGGGACTCTGTCTCATTCCTCTGTGTGTCCTTGGTGGCCAGTCAGAGCTGGTACTCAATAAATACTGATTATAGGAATGATTGAGACTTGAACTCAAGCTTGAAGATTAAACAGGATTTATTTGAATCTGAGGAGGAGGTTTTTTTATGTTTTAATGCCATCTATTGTGCTTTGTTTTAGATTTTTCTTGTTCATTGTGTGAATTGTTTTATATCCATCTAATGAATTAATTTAGTGATCGTTCAGTTTCTTTATGGCAAAATAAAACTGATGTGGCTTCCGAGGCCCTTCATGATTCTGCTCTTGCTTTTCTCTCTGCTCTGAGCTGTCTCCACATACTGAACGCACTGACATGAGCCTTTCTCAACCGGGTTCCACAAGAGAATTAAGCCCTAGGAAAAATTATCTGAGCGATATTTCTCATTCTCCCCAAAGCTACCTCGAAGCATTATGGCTGGATTCTCTTACGGAACCCCAGTAGAGAAGGGCCGCTGTGTTCCCTAACAGGTCTGAACCGGGTCAGTTCTTTTTTACCTCTAGGCTTTTCAAAGACTGTGCCCCTGTCTCTCCCCATCTCTTGGCCTGGCTAACTTCTACTCGGGTCTCAACTAAAATATCACTTCCTCCAGGAAACTTTCCCTGACCCCCTACCCCCAAATCTTGGTCATGTGTCCCTATTATATTCTGACAACATCCTGTATTCTCCTTTAATAGCATTCGTCATTCTATGTTATAATGGTTTGTTTTCTCATCTGTATCCACACCCATCTCTACAGGGCTAGAAGCTCCGCTGGGGGCAGGAACTCTCGATTGTACCCCCAGGGTCTAGCACGGTGTTTGGCATTCAGTAAATACAAGCTGGTGAGTGGTAGGATGTCTCACAGCTGCCTCAAAGCATTACTACAAGGCCTGACTAATAAAAACAAGCAGTGATCAAGAGGGAACCTTCTCGATACTGAGGAAAAGAACTCACCAATCAGTTATTTTTATGCTAGGAAGGAATCTTGTACTGGCTCCAAGGAATCTTAGTACTAGAGTACTAGGTTGTTTTCAACCTTCCTTTTTTGAGGATTGAAGTACCCTCTCAGTTTTTAACAATGTATTTGCATTTCGATTTCATGATAACCTTTCTTTGCCTAAAGGGCAAGCCCCGCTGCCAAAGTGATTTTTACAATATTGGCACAGAAGCCCACTTATGTTATACAAATGTTTCCTTTTACCTTTTCTCACTTAGAATCACTATTCATCCATTGGTCCCAGAGAAGAAAAAACTGATTATTTAAGTTAACATTAACCCCATTATTTAAGTTAACATTAACTCCTTCACATCGCTGGTAATCGGGCAAATGACCAAGCCAACCAGCAGATTAAAACACTGCCAATAAAAACACTTTATCACTGGAGGTAGGAATCTGGGTGGACTGGAGCTACATTTGACGGTTGAGGTAATGCTGCCCGCATAGAGCCCCTGCCACGGGAGGCCCTGCCCCTTCTCCATCCCCCACTTAATGCTTATTAATAGACATTATTTAGCACCAACAGCATACCAGCTGCCGATCTGGAGCACATCTACAACCAGCATGTATGTTTATTTGCACAAATCCCATCCATCTTTATTGATGAGGAGGTAGATGGAGTATTTTCTCTTTGACTTTTACATACTCATTTTACTCTTACAATCCATGGAAGGCTGACTAATGCAGACCTCATTCTATGTTTTTTGTTATTCATGCTAAAAAATAAAAAACCAAAACAAGGCTAATTAACATCAAAATGATCAGTAAAATATTTTACACATAAAAAAACAGGGCTGATCTCCATGTCTTCTGTTTGTTTTCATGTGCATACTTCATAAGCCTCAAAATCAATGCATTAGACGTGCCAACAGCTTGGAGACACGCAGCCATCTGACCCACCCGCTCTCCAACCCTAGTGGGAATATAAACTGCTTCCGTAGTGTGCTAATATCCACCGGGCCTAATTCATTGTCCCCAAATGGCCTTGTGCCCTAATTCGATCTCAAACCACCACCTCCTACTCACTCACTCCCACCCCAGTCTGGCCAAAAAAAATTTTAAGATCATTCCAGTCCCACTTTCCAATGCCTGTCACCCTGTGGAGGCGGCCATGGCCCCGATTCTCTTCCTCCTGAGAGCGGACAGCCGAGCAGCTACCCTTACATTTCTGCCTGAGCTGCTCCGACAAGTACGTCGTCATCGCTTGTTTTTTCCTGTTTTTATTCTGGACAAACCATCCATCTTTACTCGTAAAATGATGTTAATAAATAGTTACCCTACTCTACCATTATAGATGTGTGAGAATAAGGGTAACTATGAAGCACTTTAAATTAAGAAAGAATATAAATCCACTCAATTCATTTTAAATATTGTTGGCTCCCAGTGTTTGGCAGGTGGATAAATAAATGAAAGAATCAATAAGATCTTTTTTCATCTAGTCCCTCTCACCATTCTATGAAGGTTGAGATTTCAGGTGTTGCTTAATGTAGCCAAATAAGGAGGAAGCGTAGTGTCCAGCTTACAGGCAAATTTAGTGATCAATACAGAGACTGTTAAGGAGAATAAAAGTAGGGTTTGTAACCTGCAACTTTTGAATTGTTTTTCAGGTATAAAATAACTGACAAGATGGTCTCTGAGGCCCCTTTCCAAAAATCCATTCTTTTTGTAGGGCTGGCTTAGAACCGAAACATCTGTCCAGTTGTCTTCCTAGGTCATTGAGCATGGGCATCTGAGAAGGCAGTCACAAACTCAGAGTGCAGTATGCCGGGGTTGCAAAGTCATTTGAATAAGACACCAGGGCTGCTAAGATTGGGGTTAAGAATTTAGGCCTCATTAGCACTGTGTGTCAACCAACAGAGCTAACGAAACAGAATGGCACTTCTGTTCCAGGTCCTTTGCTAGGTGCCAGAATTACAAAGATACATAAGAAATTGCCCTTGTCTTTGAGACAATTGTAGTCTAATGGGGGAGAAAGACACAAAAATAGGTAGTTTCCACTCCAAGGTACTATGAAAGCAGTCACAAAACTTCCAAATCATAAAGCCCGGAAGAAATGAGTTAGCCTTTTTTGGGTGCGTGTTATATACGAGGCACTGTCCTGGGCATATTCATGTTGTCATCTCTTTTAATCTTAGAAATTTGTGAGGTAGACAATATTATGCTTTTTAAAAAAAACTAAAAAGGAAACTAAAATTTAAACAGCACTGTCCAGTAGAACTTTCTGCGATGATGGAAATGTTCTAATGTTCTGTATCTGCAGTGTCTTGTTGGTAACCAGTAGTCACTTGTGGCGTTTGAGTCCTTGATACGTGGTAGTACATCTGAGGAACAGAATTTGTACTTTTAATTTTAATAGCCACTTGTGGTCAGTGGCTACCATACTGGGAGGCTCAGGCTTAGAGAAGTTCTCAACTTCTACAAGGTGCTGTGTCATCTAGTCCTCTATTACCTCTGCTCATCTCCTACTTTTCTCCTCCTTGCCCACTCACTCCGGGCACACGGCCTCCTGAAGTTCTCTCAGATACACCTGGCCTGTCCCGCCTCTGTACACCTGGCCTGTCCTGCCTCTGCGTAGCTCCTTCCTTTGCCTCCTCCAGGTCTTTGCTCAAATGGGTTCTTAAAGAGGTCCACCACCATCCCTGAAACTCCCAGTCTCCCTTATCCTGCTCTTAATTTTTCTATATCACTCATTATTGCTAACATGATTTATTATGTTTATTATTGTTATTGATTGATTGTCGTCCCCTCCTCCAGCCCATAAACACTATGAAGATTTTTTTTGTCTCCATCATATACTGATGTATTCCTAGTGCCAAGAATAATGCCTAAAATATAGTAGTCACTTAATGAACATTAGTTCATTGTTGGACCAGGTAGGATTCAGACCTGGCCTGTCCACACCAGAACCTACGTTCTTATTCACTACACTGCCCTTTCTCTGAGTGTAGCGCTCCTCCCAAAGTGAATGAGAGAAGGAACAGGCAAAAGAAAGCAGTATCCCTAATCTGGCCAGTTTTACTGGATTGGTACATGTCTTCAAGGAAATAAACAACAAATTGCTACCACTTAGACAGCAAGCTGTTTTATAAATGGCAGCCCGTCATCTCGTTTTAAAACACTATATTAATCTCCCCATTTTAGTAAACAGAAAGAGGAGGCAGGGTGGTCTTCTAGAGTCAGCTGGAAGTGATGAGAATCCAACCTAGTTTCTCTTGTAGCCCAGTAAGCCAGTATTTGAAGATGCTTGTCTTCAGTGAGTTACCACTCCCCTTTAGCACCCAGTCTGTTTTGGACCCAGCTCTGTGGAATTTAGATGAGGACAGAGTCGGCCCCTCGGTCTCGAGAGGCTGTCCCGGAAATCCTAGGCCGGGAGCCCTTTGTCCATTTGAGATCTTGTGTGCCAGGGCAGCAGATCTCTAAGTGAAAAGCAGACTGGTGGCTGGAACCGAAAGAGAGGAGAGGGCTCTGCTACGTTTATTTTCCTTTGTTATTGCATTTAGACTTGTAACATAACAACGGAGAATGAAATGTTTGTGTGTAAAATGAGACAGCCTTTCATATTAATTTGCTGGTGAAATCTGTTCTCAGATCTTACCCACCAATCCTGAAGTCAAATTTCCTTTGTCCTTTGGAGATTTTTAACCTTCTCCCCAAGGAGGCTGTTATATCTACTAGTAGTCTCCGTTTATCTAACTTCCGTGTGTACACACTGGGATGCTTTTATCCGTTATCATTACTGGTCACAACTCTGTACTGAAGAAACCGAGGCTCAGAGAGGTTGAGTAAACTTGCCCAAGATCCACCACTAGCGAGAGGAAAAGCTAGGATCTGAACCTATGTCGTACTCAGATGATGCTACGCTGAGCCATCAGTAGGTTATCCTGAAGGAGCCATGGTTTCTATCTCATTTAAAAAGTTCTCTTAAAAGGGCAATAAATATATTCCATTTTTTTTTTCCCTAGGTAAATTCCATAATTTACTTAGGATAGAAAATTGTGTAACTTACACTAAAGGAGAAGCACAAGCGTATCAGCTCTCCTTCTACACTGGTGCTTAGAGTTTCATCCTTTAGAAAAGCACAGGGCAAGCGTTGAAAGTAACATTTAGCAATCAGTAAACAGTTAACGTGAAATTGCAAACAAAGGTGTTGATAACGTTCTCACATCTCTCCATCTCTCACCACCTTTCCTTCTCGTCCGTAGCACGGTTACCTCTCCTGGACTACTGCAGACACCACCTCACTCCAGTCTGCTCTCTCTGCCCGCTCCCCTCCAGCTCATCTTCTGTCAGTTCTAGAAAATATAGCTATCTTTTAAAAACATGAATCTGATCAGGGCACTCTTTTGCCTGACAGCCTTCGACATCCCCACCGTGTAGGACGGCCCCCAGTCTGGTCTTAGCCGACTTTGCTGGCACCCTTGCTGGCCACCAGTCCTCTTGACACCATCACTGCACCCTTTGCTCTACTCTGTAACATCTTAGTCCTTTTCACAACAAAAAGAGCGTGTGTGTGCGTTTCCACGTGTTCTTCCCTCTGGCAGAAACGCCCACCCCCGCCCTTCCTTGTTCTCTGGTTGAATTGCAGCTTATGAAGGTAGTTTTTTATTATAGATAGCACCTGATTTTTACCACATTCTAGAGCCTGTCAATGTGTGTTTTAGTTAAGTCTGTCTCTCTTTCCATTGGACTTTGGACTCTTTAAAGGCAGGCCGGTGATCTGTCAATATTTGCGTTTCCATACCTGACATCATTTCCGGTATCTAGAGATATAAAATATATTTGCATTGACTATTCAAATGGATGGCACTTGCAAAGTTTTGCTCTCTCATTTTCTGAAGGATTTTACCTCACATCTGGTCAATAAAGTCGCAGATAATAACTTTTCTATACTTTTGTTTTACTATAGTCTCTATAGATGAGACAACGACATTAAAAGGCAAAGTCGAATTGACCTCAAAGGGAAAAGAAAAGCAGACATTAAATGGGGCACATCTCTACCAGTGTTTTTATCTTGCATTCTGGTGAAGGATTCTGATCACTTTTCAACTCACTTGACACGACATACCTGTGTCACTACCGAAGGGCCTCATTGGAGGAGAACTGCTTTCCTAGAAAGTCCCTCTTGAGGTTTATAATGGGTCACTCTGGATTTGAGGATGTTCTGGATTTACTCAGGCTGGGGGGCCATTTAGTCGAGTCCCAAGTGGCTAAATCTCTTCTTTTCTCCACAGGGAAACAACTGGAAGGCATCTGGTAAGTGGGGTGGGACTCCTGACATTGACTGGTTTATGAAGCAAAGCAGAACCTGTGCATTTCCGGTTCCGGTCTGTGGCTTCCAGCCTGAAACCTACTTCTCTGTATCATAAATCTTCAAGTGGTAATGCAGAGCCTCTCGACCAGGGATTCGTTTGCACACTCACACATACCCCTCCCCCCCCCTGGGACATTTGGCAGTGTCTAGAGATTTTTTGGTGGGTGGGTGGAGGCCAGGAGTTCTGCTGTGAATATCCTACCATGCACAGGACAGCCCTCCACAACAAAGAATCTCCAGCCAAAAATGACACTAATGCCAAAGGTGAGAAAGTCTGTCCTAACGAAAGGCAGAATGATGTCATGCCCACCCCGACCAAGCTTTCTAACTACAGAGGTCTCAAGGCCCTGCATATCTGTCTGTCCTAAAACACATCTACTCTGGTCCCTCAGTACCGGACCCATCCCTGTCAGACAAGATGGTGGCTGAGCGCTCAGTTCCATTTATGAGGAAACCGTAGGTCAGTATTTCGTCTTGACTCCTCGAGCCTGCTGACATTGGGTTGACCAGAATGACCCTTTGCTTTGTTTGACTCGAACTGAGTAACATGAGCACCTTCACCTGAAATAGGTTGCCACTTCACGCCATTCGGTCTTCGCCTCGGCATGGTCCAGGTGAACTGTTCCTGTGAGTTTAAAGGGCCGGGGAATACACCTTGGTCCACAGAACTTTATTTCAGCAATTGATCTCTCAATATGGGGGTGAGCCTCTAGGGGCGCCCCTCTGCTCACGTTATCTATAGCGGTGGTTCTCAACCAGGGACAATTCTGAGACATTTGGCAGTGTCTGGAGACATGTCTGGTTGTCCCCACTGGTTGGGTGGGTGGTACCAGCATCTAGTGGGTAGAGGCCAGGATGCTACTAAATACCCTGCACTACACAGAGAAGCCCCCCACAACACAGAGTTATCCGGCCGCAAATGTTGATAGCGCCGAAGTTGGGAAGCCCTTATCGGTGGTGTTTATCTTGCCTTCGTGTGGTTAGTTTTATAAGGCTGCACAGTCATATCCTTGGGCAGAAATTATTCTCATTGCAGTGTGGTGATTGCTTTTTCTCAGACCGGTTTTAAGTTTTCGGCTTATTCTGTCCCCTCTCTGCGTTGCAGGCACACGTCCATAGTTGTACACAAGGATGAGTTCTTCTTTGGCAGTGGCGGTATCTCCAGCTGTCCCCCCGTGAGTGTCTTCCCCCTCACCCTGTCCTGCAGTCTCAGGTTCCGGGGGGTTTCCAGAGACAGGAATTTTGCTGCTGCTCTGTACAATCTGGCTTCTAGCCCAGAGTTCTTAGGCTTATGGCGTGGTTTCTCATAACTACCTAAGACTCGGCTCAAGAAAACCTCAGACCCTCCAGCCAACTGCCCTCCTCTCTGCTCCCATGGCACTTGTGGGTCCCTCTGTGTCACACAGAGCATGTTGTGGTGAAACGAGCTATCCCTGAGTCTCCACAGGGAAATGTGTGACAGTTCCTTGTGAGCTGAGACCGGCTCCCTTTTCTGTTCCCATGACCAGCTCAGTGCGTGGCTCATAGTGTGAACTCAGCCAATATGAAGCTGAACGCTGAGGGCTCTGAGAGGTAAAGTGAGTTGCCCACAGTTACACGGCCAGTAAGTGGCACTAGCACTAAAGCTCAGGTCTCTCCGACTCTAAAGCCCGTGCACTTTTCCAAACTATGTCTGCCTGAGTGATCTCAGGATTGTCACAGGAGGTGCTCAAAGGCCAAGCAACCATTCGTTTTGATGTTCATAAATGGGAAGTCATTCTTGATTTCTTCCTGGTCCCCCACGTCCTATAACAAATCCTTCATTAAGCCCAGTTCATCCTACCTTGTAAACATATCTTAAACCAGTCCATCTCTCTCTCTCTCCCCATTTCTCCAGAGCTTTCACCTTAATCCAGGCCACCCTCATGTCTAGCCTGGCCCACAGCACGCATCCACCCTACTTCCTCAGTCAGTTCTCCACACGGGAGGCAAAGTGATCTTTTCAAAGTGAAAATCTGATCCTGGCATTCCCCTGCTTAGGTCAGAACTCTCCCTGTTGCTCTTGGAAGAAAAGCCAGAAAGCTCAGCATGGCCTCCGAGCCCTGCTTGATGTGGTCTGGGTCTCCCTCCCTGCGTGGCCTCCTTCCAAGTCATGTCCTTCCCCACCCTTGAACACGCCTCAGACATTAAACCTGTCCTCTGACTCCAGCCCACCTCCCTGAGCCTTCACCTGGTTATGCCTCTCTGTCCTTCAGATTTGAGCTCAGTATCCCTGACCCTGCAGATGGGAGGCATTGTGTACTTCTCCAGCAAGACCCTTATGCAGCTCCTAATAATACATTGGTTTATGGGATTTTTTTGTCTGCCTTCCCCGCTAGACTGTAAACTCCCTGAGGGCAAGAATCTCAACCGTTTTGTCCACATGAAACCCCCGGTGCCTAGCATAAGGCCCGGCACATAGTAAGTTCTCAATACATATTTATTATATGAGTGAATAACTGGGGAGTTGAATAGTGACCTTTTAGTTTCTTGTAGTTCTGAGATTGTTATTCTCTGTCATGATTATCCTGCTCACCATATCTTCCCCAGTGCCTGGAACAATGTCAGGCACATAGTAGGTGCTCCCTGGCTGTTGCATAAATTCATGATCTTTGCAGGGAGCTAGCTCTGCTCTGGGGCGCTCTCCCTTCCCCCCAGCCCACTCCCAGCTCCGTCCTCCCCAGTGATCCTGTTGCTTCCCCCTTGCCTGGTTTCCCCACTGGGCCTCAGTCTCTCCCTTGGTCTTCTATGGCCGTCTGTTAACCCATGGCTGAGAGTTTTCTGTAGGCCTTTCAGAGGTCACTAAATTCCCTTACCTGGGGAACTCTATCAGTGTTGTTAGATTATCCTCACAGATGATAAGAGAGTTGAATTGTGGAAATATTTGCCAGCCTGTCATTTCTCACAGCCCTTCGCATTGCCCCAGTGTCACAGGGAATATCACGTGTGTCACAAGAAACACTGGCTGCATACCCTATGAATATAGGCATAGAAAGATGGCCTGTCAAGTGGGAGCCATTTCTAGTTGTCCTGTTCTGCCCGCATGAACGGGGATGTTGGGGACAATGGGAGACTTCAGGTGCTGGGTTTCAGCTGAATAAGCAGACAGCATCAAGAGTCCAACCTGCATGAGACTCAGCCTCCTACGGCCCCACCAGAAACAAGAAGCCCAACTTCTTAGCCACGTCGCCAGCTCGTGGCACTGGAAAGTCTCCCAGAGGCTCTAAGCCATTACAGCCCTGATACAAACAGGGCTTCACCTGCCCTGGGCGCTCTGAGAGTCCCAGGTTGTTGGAACAGAGCATCTGTGGTCTTCCATGGAAAGCCATGCTAAAAAATTCAATGGCAGTGGTGACTTAATGACTTTCTTTGGGTTGGCTCTTTTAGGGAGGGACATTGCTTGGGCCCCCAGACTCTGTGGTTGATGTGGGGAGCACAGAAGTCACAGAAGAAATCTTTCTGGAGTACCTGTCCTCCCTGGGGGAGTCTCTGTTCCGGTGAGTGGAGACAGGGGAGGCGGTCAGTATGTCTGTCCCCCCCACTAGATAATCGGCCCCTAGAGGACAGCCACCAGGTCACATCCCCCAGGGCACTCAGCACAAGGTCTGGCCCAGTGTTTTCTGAATAAATATGAAGAGAAAGCAGTTATGGCACCAAAAAGCTGAGCGTTGCCCTGCGGCTGGTATTCCATCCAGCATACCTTCTGCCGAAGCTCTGAGGAAAGGAAGGGCTGTTTGTTCCTTCTGATCAAAATCGGCTGCTGCTGGCCTTTTGAGCCACGCTTCTCTTGCTCAGGCCCGCTTCCACTTCTGGAAGTGGACTTTCCCTTCTAATAAAACCTTTCTTTTCTGCTGTAAAATAAATAAAGAAAAATCAGATACAAGCAGCTGCTGCTACTTCAGCACGTGCTGCTCTCAACCCATACTGGCCACGGGTGTTGTCCTGAAAATCAGAAACAGGGTTTATAGAGGGGTTGGGACGAAATACAAACCTGAGCGGATTTAGTCAATTTCAATAAGTGTTAAACTCTAACCCTAGAGTGAATGTAAAGATTCCTCTGGAACTATAGAGAAGCCACATTTTTCTTTTCTCCTTCCCCTACAAACCCGGTTTTAGTGGTCCAGAGAGGTGAGTCAAGCGGTCCTTTCCGAGTGTGAGGGAAGAGGGAACTCGGTGCTCAGAGCCAGCGGCGCTCACCATTCCGTACCTGGTCTGAGTTATTTCAAACGCTTGCTGACTCATACCTGTTCTCTAAACCTTTCTCACAATGCACAGAGGCGAGGCCTACAACCTCTTCGAACACAACTGTAACACCTTCAGCAACGAAGTGGCACAGTTCCTGACCGGACGGAAGATCCCTTCCTACATCACTGACCTTCCTTCTGAAGTTCTCTCCACGTAAGTGGCCTCCGTCTCTGCCCCTGCCCCTGCCCTTGAGAACCCCATTCATACCAGTGCCACTCTGCCCACGTCTGCCTTCGCCTGATCTAGGCAGAAGCCTCCCAGGCTGGGTGGGCCCTGTCCCGATGGCAGCTTCTGACACAGAAGGCCTTGGTTTTCTCTACTCGCCGATGCTCACCTGTGTTAACCTTCACCGTCCATGAAGTTGGACCAACTCTACCCTGGCCTGGGTGCAAGCACAGGACTTAGAAACTCCCTTGTACAGAATCCTGACGACAGTCTTTCCCGCTGCGCGTGCAGCGTGCCGCTCCCCAGAAGTGCCTACTGAAAACGCGGTTTTAGGCAGACGAGCGGAGAGTAGGTCAGAATTGGGAGGGTGGCTCGTCGGTTCATTTTTCTTCCCCTGCACCGAGAGCTCTTTGATGCCCTCAAAGATAGCTTCCTACTTGCCCTCATACCTCGTGGGCCATCATCTAGGCAGTGTTCCCTAAAAGGACGTACACTCCCAAAGCCATCACACCCTTCCCTTCCTTTGCTGTTGATTGCGTTCAGGCAGCCTCTGCTCACTCCAGGACCATGTTCATTTGCTGACTCTGACTCAGTTTCTCCTGAACTGGGGCCCTGTCCAACAGGGATCCTGGCAAGTTTAGCAGGCTCAGCAAGGTGAGCTGTTTTTCACACCTGAGTAGGAAAAACTTACATAGGAAACAAGGCTGCCTGCCAAGCAGGTGAGGAAATCCCCCACCCCCAGCCCTGGCCCTGCCTTCCTTGGTGGGTGTGTTAAACCCCACAGCCTTACTGAGGGATCTAGGTTATGGGGCCCTGAGCAAACTTAAGTATCTGGAATGTTCCTGCTGTTATTATTTGATGGGTAGAGTTCCTGGGCTTGTCTGAATTAAGGTTAATCTCTCTCGGTTTCATCTGTTTATGCTTTGGAATATTTCATTCCCTTCGAACTTGGGGACAGTTTGCAAAAACGGCAGTATCCACCCAAGGCAAAAGAAAACCAGGAACTGAGAAGCGTTGTGGGCAACTCGTTTTAAGGTTGGGGTAATCTTGGAAAGTCTCTAAGACCACAGTGTTTGCGATGTTTTTTCCAGCTAAGCTACTGTGAGAGCAAACTGGGAGCCCTTGACAAAGTGACATTAACACTTTCTGAGTTTTTCCTGGCTGGTCCCTGTCCCCCCAGCAGACCTTAGTTCCTGGAGGAATGTCACTCCCGACTTGACCTTTTTCATGTCCTTTCTCTTTTGCCTCAGCTTCTTCATTAAATTTTATTTTTATCTTCTTATGCCATGAGAATTAAAAGTACAAGTACAGAAAGTACAGAAAGCTCTTGTGCCCTCTATGTAGCCGGCCCGTTCAAGCCATAGCTAACCAGGACCTGGAGGTGAAGGTGGTCAGGTGGTAGCATCCGCTGAGGGGACGCTAGGAGTGAAAATGCAGAGCAGGCTCCTTAGAGACCCCCTCTGTGAAAAACAATGTATGAGGTAGGTGAGAACATAAAACCAGGTGACAGTGAGCTTCTTCCCCGGGGGGTGGTGCCGCTGCACCTGTGGGTGGAGCGGGGCACGCTGGCCGTGGCAGTCTGCGCCCACAGCCCGCCCCAGCTCCTGTGTCTTTTCTCTCCGCAGGCCCTTCGGGCAGGCCCTGCAACCCCTCCTGGACTCCATCCAGATCCAGCCGCCCGGAGGGAGCACCGTGGGCCGACCCAATGGCCAGAGCTAACAGGACTGCATGGGCCCACCCTGCCTCACAGGGCTTTTCCTTTTTAAACAAAACAAACCCTACCAGATTTCTATTTTATAATTTTACATCAGAGCTAACAACCAGGGGACGGCTTTTTAAATTTCCCAGGGAAGGAGATCATCAGGCTGCATGTAGGACGATGCTGCTAAGAAACGGAACAAAACGCCATCCCTTCTAATAGCATTATACTAATTTATTAAGGCTGTCTTGTCTGTGAGTTCACTTTGACGCTGCTTCCTGAGCGTCTTCCACACTGGATAAAGGGAGGGGTTTGTTTTAGCAAAAAGCAGGAGGCAGTTTGGGGGAGCCCCAACCCAGAACCTCTTTCCAGAGACCGCCCATGCTCTGCCCAGGTTGCCATCACCTGTGGGACCCAGGTGAGTTTTACGTCATCCATGACCCAGAAGCGGTTACCTCTCTGGCATTGAATGAACCAAAGGAGCTGGTGCACGTGGGACCAGTTTCAGGATGACTAACCCAACCTAAGTGAACTCTTAGCCACAAGCTCTCTCACCCGCCCTCCTCTACCCCAAGCAAGGCCACGGGGCCAAACCTGGAGCGGCCAGAAAGCTCAAGATTGAGGGAGAGTGACAGCAAGTGTCAGGCCAGAGAAAACAGGATAAAGCCATTCCTCCTTCGTCCTAGACTGATTGCCAATCATCTGCCATCAATTTCGGAGAACCTGCCTTGCTGCCTGTAGGCGGCTCTTCCTCAACATGGCTGACCTGTCATAGGTAGTGAGGGTCTGGGCTGCAGTGGCAGAGACCCAGGCCTTCTGTCTGCAAGTAATGTAGGTTATCTGCAGTCGCTGTACCCACCCCGCCCAGACCAATATGCAGTATTCGGCTAGGGACCAAGGGGACATGGTTCCCTGCTCCAGGAAAATGTCCCTGATGCAGAAAGGATATAATGCAGAATCAAAGTGGCAAGAAAATTTAGAGTTGTTTCCCATGGGGATTTTTACATTATCTTAAATGTGCTTTGAAGACACGTGTAGTTTCTGTTGTCATTCTGACTTTAAGGAAGCATAGTTGCGGGTGTGAGTGGGGATTTTCCTAATGAGCTGCTGCTAGGAGCTTATAGGCAGGGAACAATCTGGAAGTTTCTTAATCTGGAGAGGCCTTCAGATTCCCTTTCTTCATGTCATTTTTTGGGGAACTTGAGGGTGGAGAAGGGACTCAGAGCTGCCAGGTACCTGAGTCCCAACTCTGGCATCCTTGGGTCCCTCCTGCCACTCCTCAGACTTGAATTATGTTCTCTTCCCTGGTGTCTGGCCTGCAGCTGGTGCCTTTCCTCTCCAAACCTGCCGCTCACCTCTGGCCTCTTCTCCTCCTATCTCTGCTGTCAGCCACAGCAGTTGGCATCATCAGAGTCTCAGCTAGAGGAAGAGATGTCATTCCTCCTCAGTGTTTGCCTGTCATCTGACCAAGGGCATGTCCGTGATGACCAGCTGTAAAATCAAGTGACATTTTGGAACTTTGCCAATGAGCAGTTTAATTCTCAAGAGCCACCGATTTGCCAGTGTGCACAGTATTGGTGCATTAGAGCAGAAAGTAGAGGGGCTCTCACGCAATGTTGGCCGACTGGCAGAAGAGACCGAGGAGAATGGCCTTCAGCGGGGTTGCTCCCAGGGTCCAGACCGTCGTGCTGCTTCCCACCTGGGTTTCTCTCCTCTCCAGCTTGCCTTGCCCAGCCCCCTCTCTTCCAGGCTCCCGCTCCAGACCTCTCCACCCTGAGTTCTAGCCAGGGGGCTGGGCAACACCAGCTCCCTCCTCTCTCCTCTCCCCTCTCCAGGCGCAACTACTCTCGCTCCTCCCAGCATCACCTCCAGACCCAGGGCTGTACTGAGAGAGTAGCCTCAGTGGCTCCCCTGAGAGATAGTTACTTGGTTCATTGAAAGACCCCTTCATGCCCAGCAGCCATTTGTGCCAATGCCCGTGCCCTAGGATTTGTGGGACGAGGCGGAGGGACCAGCAAGCAGTCTTCTCAGAGCCTTGCAGGAAGGCAGGCTCTCCCTCCCTCCGCCACTAACGGTGGAAGACCAGGACCAGGCTCGGTCCCCAGCCCACGCTCACGTCCCTCTCTCTGTCCCAGCCCACCCTCACATCCTTCTGTCAGCACTTCAGGAGCATGCTCACTGTGACCAGCGAGCTCCACACGGGTGTGTGCGGGTGAGCAGAGTGAGAAATGAGCCATGTGTGTAACTGTAGTGCACAGCAGACGCCTCCATAGGGGTCCACTGGTTTAAAGGGATAGAAGGAGGAGGGATGAGACTGTCACCCCCTCCCAGAAATAAAGTTTGTTCTTTTGAGATTCTTTTTCCTTTAAAGTCGAACTAATTGTGTCTAGTACGGAGGTGTTTGCAGGTTTCTTTGGTGTTTTTTCTAATGCAATAAACTCATTTCTGCCTGCTGCATCTGCGTAGTGCTTGAAGGTCTGGGTTTGCGTCCAACATGAAGAAACTCCGGGCTTCTCAGTCTGTCTCCCTCTGAGCTTGACTTTGCTCGGTCTAGATATGCTGCCTTTGCTTGGTATAAGACTTGACGATGAGAAATGATAGCAGGGAAGAGTGTACGACTTTCACCATTGGAATACTACTTGCTTAAGGTTACCTCACAGCTGGTGGTAGAGTAAGCCTCAAAAGCCTAGTCTGCTGTCCCCAAGATCTTCCCCTAGAGCATGTTGGTACTGGTCCGTGGCCTGATAGGAACTGGGCCACACAGCGCCGCACAGCAGGAGGTGAGTGGCGGGCGAGCCAGCGAAGCTTCATCTGTATTTGCAGCCTCTCCCCAGCACCAGCATCACCGCCTCAGCTCCACCTCAGATCATCAGGCATTAGATTCTCATAGGAGCACCAGTCCCTGGTGCCAAAAAGGTTGGGGACCACTGCCCTAGAGGACTTTGGCCATCAGGACGTCTGTCCCCGCCCCCCGAAGAAGTGTTCAGTTCTGGTTTCGGTTTGGCTAGAGGCTGGGCCCGTGGCCCCAGGGGTCTCTTTCCACCTTGGTACCATGCCTTCGTTGAACACATGTTGGGGGTGGACAACAGCTCTCCGAATGCCCCCTGCTACTACCTGACACGCCAGCTTGACTGCAGGTGTCTGCAGGGTCAGCTGGCCGCCTCAGAGTGCCTTCTGTGGGCTCAGCCTGTGCTGGGCGCTTTCACACAACGCACTGGAGACGTGGGTGCGCCGGTGTGGAAACTAAGTTATCCAGGTGGCAAGTGGCTGAGCCCTGGAACCCAGGCCATGTTCCTCATCACTGAGGAACTGTGTCTTTCCAACATGCTAGCTTAAGAACAAAAGTTCTGTGTCTTCAGAGGACACAGGGCAGGTAGCTTTGGCTGACATATTTACGTCCCAAAGGCTGACATGTTCAGAGCAGGAGTCAAGAGTGCCTGCTCTGAGATCACAAACCCTGGGCTTAAGTCCTAACTTTGCCACTTGTGGGCCAGTCTAGTTATCTCATCTGTAAAATGAGAGACCGGGACCTACCACACAGGGTGGTTTTGAAGAGAGTCAATGCAAAGCGCTTTGCACAGCGCCTGGCATAGACGAGGTACCCAATGAATATCAGACCGAGGGCAGAATCCATCCCACAGCTGCGGACTACAGATGCCTGCAAGACAGCTCTGTGCAGCAGCCTCGGCCAATCCTCTCCGCTGAGGACAATTTACAAGACAAGGCACTATAGACTGCTTCTTGGGGGAATGGCAGAAAACATTTTACCCTTAGACTTGGTGACTCATGGTAAGCCAGTCTGGGCTGAGTTCATTCAACCCCACAAATACTTCCCTGGGAGCCCACTGTTTGAAGCAGAACTGGGCCTTGTTACAGACAAGGTCCCACACAGGCAGGAATGATTTCTAGGGAGGCTGAGAGACAAAAGGGTAGATAGATAATCGATAATCTCAGGTGGTGATAGTGCTAGAGAAGAAAACCAGGTGGCAGCATAGTGTGTGAGGATGTGTCAGGAGGCTGGGGAAGGCTTGTGTGACGGGCCATGTTTGATGTGACACCTAATCGTAGATCTGAGAGAAAAGCACTCCAGGCACGGGGAGCATCGAGTCAAAAGGAAGGCCAGAGTGGCTGGAGCATCAGAGCACAGCGGGTGGCGGAAGGTGCTGAGGCTGGGGAGGGCCATGGGCCAGACCATGAGGGACCTTGTAGATAATGACGGAATCAATTGCTAGATTGAGAACAGACTGGGGCCGGGGGGACAAGAAGGGCATCAGAAAACCAGGGAGGGAGGGCAGTGCCGTTTTCAGGCAAGCGGTGAGGTGTATTGTGCATTTGCTATGTGCCTGGAGCTATGAGGAAGCCCTGGAAATTAGTTTGGTCTTGGCCCCCCAAGAGTTTAACCTGTGAAGAGGAACAGAATGGAACAGCCCCTGTGAAACATGCGAAAGCAGGAGGTAAGGGGACTGCAGAGCCACCACCAGCCACTTGCCCTGCTTCCGTAAGCTTTCACTGGACTACTCTGGTTTTGATTTGGGGTGTACTTAGACTTCTTCATTTGTTTTTTCCCAAAATGAAAATAATCTTTAGTTATATGATATAGAGATAATAAATATTTAGAAAACAAGCAATCAATAACAGTACAAAGAGAGGGAAAAGTCACCTAAAATTCCACCATCCTAAGAGATGTTAGCATTTTATGAACTTCCTTGCAGATGTTTCTGTGGATTTGAAGACACGCAACTAGAAGTGCTGTGTGGTACCTGGCTTTGTTCTCTCGACACGTAGTAAAGTTTCGTGAGGCTCCAGCAACGGAAGCTTAGGCGTGGAGGCGGGGCCTGCTCTGGAGTGGGAGATGGTGTAGGAGGGCGCCTGCCCAGGCTGGCAGGTTGGACCATGAGTCCCACGTCCTCTGCCTGAGAGGGCAGGCAAAGAACCAAGTAGGGATCTGGCACATCCCTTAATGTGAGCCCTTGGCCATGGAGCCTGGCTGCTTTGGAAGTAGACAGGGATCCTGGGGCTGGTCCTTATCCACAAGGTTGTCCGGAGTCCCCTGCAGAGATCTCCGTCCTTTGGTTTACCCCGCTGAAGAGAGCCGGGAGAGGTCACGCGGCAGTGAGGGAGATGGACACCAGGGGGAGCTGTGGACTCACGCGGCCCAGACCACAGCCAAACTCGTACCTCAGGTCACGTGAGCATGCCTTGCCCCCCGCCTCCGCCCTTTGGTGGACCCCCCAAGAACCCACGGGGCAACACATTTATGAAGGATCTTCTCAAGTTTGTCTCCGAACCTCTCCAACCCCCACACCCTTGGGGCAAGTGAGGGTCGCCATCGCTGCAGACGGTTTCCAATCTCCACCTCGATTTACCTCAATTTACTGTTTGCTGAACCTGGATCCCCTCTCCCCACCTATTCTCAGAGCAACCCCTTACCAGATGCTAAAGGCCCAGCTCCGGCATTTCCTCTGCAAAGGCTTCCCTCCTTTGGGTGCTTCTCCACACACCCCCACCAGCTGAGGCGGGGCCAGGACATGAAACACCGACGGGGTGGGTGGGGCAGGTCATGAAAAGCCCTGAACCTGGATGGAGCCTCTGCCTCAGATACCCTGCTCGAGGCCTTCCATTCCACTCCCTGCACCTCGGCTTCTTCATCTATAGAATAGAAACTATGGATCAGATCATCTCTAAGGCCCCTCAGAGCCAGACGGACTTCTCTGCCCACATCGGAGCATGAGAAGTGCGGAGTGACTTGCTCAAGGTCTCACAATCCTGGGGGCTCAGCTCTGATCCACAGAGATCACTAACACCAGGTGTCAGGAGACAGCAGCCCCTTCTTCCCCAACCCCAAGGTGGGGCAATGCTGACCCCCCCATCTCTGTCCCCACTGACTTTGGCTGAGGGAACCCCAAGGGGGCCTGCGCCAACCCAGCAACCAACCCAGCAACAGTCTACACCCCCTCCACAAACACCACCTCTGAACATGAACCCTTCAGCTTATTTAAATTCACCAGACTTGTTTTCTGTGAAAACAATGTAAGCACTGCAGAAATTTTGAAAAATGGAGGAAAAATAGCCAACACTCACAGGCTCCCCAACCTCCCACTGCCCTTGAACCAAGATGGAATTAAAACCAGCAACCAGCCCTGACCTGTTCTTTGCAGAGCCTCTTTAAGCACATCTCCTCCCCTGCGCCCTCATCTTCCTGACAGCAGAGAGGCTGACAGTGGCAGTTCCATTTATAGATTAGGAACAGGCTCAGAGAGTAGGAGGGACCTGTCCAAGGTCACTTGGCTGGGAAGGTCAGCCCCAGGAACTGTCAGTCTAACTGTACAACCAGGACGCCAAGGCCACCCCCTGGGCTGGGACTGCCCACCTTTAGAATGTCACACTCCAGATAGGGAAAAAGAGGGTCAAGGCCCCCTATACTCATTCAACAACACGTTGACACTTGGCCTTCCACCAAGGGGCCAGGGAAAATAATGGGCTTTAGGGGAACACAGTTGAATATGAATCCTGACTGTGCTCTGCGACCTGGGAAAGCCACATCATCTCTCTGGTGTCAGTACCTAGTTCTGGAATTGAATATAAGGGTACTCACCTCAGAGGATTCTGGCAAAAGTAAGTGAAACGTCAAGGTAGGAGCTACACTGCCCAAAGCTAACATGGAGGTCACTAATCTGCAGCCTCGGGGACCTGGCTCAGAAGAGCAGTCTTCCTTCCTGAGCAGGATCCTGCTGGGCTGGGGTCTCCGGCCCCCTGCCTTCGGGCCTGGCTTCCTTCGGAGCGTTGGAAACCCTTGTGGCCAGTCCTCCCAGTCCCAGTCCCCTCAGTCCTGCTCCTCTCTTTCCCCAGGGCCTCCCCAGGGCCCCATCTGAACACCAGTTGCCAGGGATGAGCCTCTGTCTCAAAGGGACCCTAAGGGCCACTCCATCTACCTGGTCCTCCTGGGTCTGTGCCTCAAGGCAGTTCACTCCATTTCTCTGGGTTTCACTGTCCTCATCACTGACCTGAGTTGTGGTGAGAATTCAGGGAGAGGCTGTGAAAGGCATTTATAAGAAACAGGTTCACTACACGTCTAAGGCATAGGTGTGATATTGTTAAGAGCTTATCTTTGTTTGTCTTGAGAAAGGCGGACCCAATACTTAGGAGTCAAACACCCGTCCTGCCCTGTGGGCCCCATCCTACAGCTTCCGGATTCCAGCAGCAAGATTGGGGCCCAGGCATCTGCATTTAAACGATTCCCTAGGAATTCCTAAGCAATGGAACAGGCGTCAGCTGTGAGATATTAGAGACTAATCTGGGCAGTTCCAGGTCCACCCACAGGCTCTAGACTAGGTGGGCCCTGGGAAGGGGTCTCAGGTCCTGACAGTGGCCAGAGTCACAGAGACCAGATCTGGGTGGAGCAGTGGGTGCAGAGGATAAAATTCAGTCTTCTCTCTCGTGGAGATGGTTCTGTTTGCTCTCTGCATCCAACAGAAAACAAAAGCTTCTTATTTTGTTCCCTCCAGTGCTGCCAGAACCCAGAACAGTGTCTGGCACAATAAATTTGTTTAATGAATGAACCATACTCTGCAGCAGGGCCTAGAAAGAAAGACAAATTTTTCCTTTTGCCTCAGGCTCCCATATGACTCCTCAGAACAATGACCGATACAGTCTTTAAAAAATTTTTTTGACTTTTTGTTCATCATGGATTTTTTTGCATTAATTTTGATTTTTAAAAAATATTACATTAAAATACTATTTATCTTAATTGCCGAGCTTTCTGGTGCCCCCTTAGCTTTTGTGCCTGCAGCCAGTACCTCATCCACCCAGCTCACCCTGGTCTCAGCCCTGCTAGGTGCTCTGTGCAGCAACGAGCACATCCCTCTCCTTTCTCTTCATCAAATGGAGACAATAACACCTCCTAGAGCTGCTGTGAGAGTGAATGAAGATATGTGGTCAAGTGTCCAGTATGGTGGGTGGCACATCGTAAGGGATCGATAAATATCAGTTATTACTATCTCACCTTTTATAGTTCTATCGGGTAGGGATTATGTCCCCATTATATACACGAGGAAACGGAGGCCCAGTCAGGGAAAGTGACCTGTTCGAGTACTTAGTTAGCAGGGACCAGACTGCAGTTTTCTGCCCCTCTCTGCCCCTGACTCCAGTGGTCTGTCTCCTCAGGGCAGCTACCAAGACAGAAAAGCAAACAGACCATCAGAAGCATGGTGCACAGAGTTATCACTCATAGGTGTGTGGATGAGTGTGTCTCTCTGTATGACCAAAACTGCCAAAGCTAATGACAGGCATTAGGGCAAGGATGCTAAATGCAGCAAAAATCTCCTCACAGGCACAGTCTCGAACAGAAGGGCAACTCCCTGGGAGCACAGAGGGATGTGCAGTGGGCTTTTGGCTCTGGTGTGTGAAAAGAGGAAGAAACAGAGCCCTGGAGAAGAGGAAGCTGCAGTCAACACATTTGGGGGGGGAGGGGTAATCTTTGAAATTCACGATGATACTAATACCCAGAGACAGCTTGCTTCTCTCCTATTACAAAAATGGGATCACGGTTTTTCCATGTTAAATATTCTACAACAGCAGTCCCCAACCTTTTGTGTACCAGGGAGCGGTGCTCCTATGAGAATGTAATGCCGGATGATCTGAGGTGGAGCTGAGGCGCTAATGCTAGCACCAGGGAGCAGCTGCAAATATAGATGAAGTTTCGTTTGCTGACTGGCTGCTCACCTCCTGCTGTGTGGCCTGGTATCTAACGGGCCACAGACCAATACCAGTCCGCAGCCCCAGGACTTGGGAACCCTTGTTCTACCACACAGATTTTCACAGATTCATCTTATAGATGGACCATAGTTAATTTAACCAATGCCCAATTTTTTTTTTCTTTTCTAAAAGTTGAATTGCTGGCTTAAAGGGTCTGCACATTTCGAAGACTTTTGACAGGCAATAGCTGTTTAATCAGTAACTGTATCAAGCACATCTACACAAATTCTCCTTTGTGTGCCACATACAATGTGGGTTCTTTTACACTTATTTCTTTTCATGAGCAAGGCAACCCTGCAAAGTAGATGAAGTTCTTCCCATTTTACACAGCGGAGACACAAAGCTTCAGAGAAGTGAAGTGACTTGTCCAAAGTCACATATGGCGGAGCCGGAAAGAGCCTAGAACTGACTCCAAAGTCAATGTAATGGTTAAATAGCTGTGAATAGAGAGATCTGGGAAGGCTTCCTGAAAGAGGTGGACTGTGAGCTGAGCCTTATAGGGTGGAGAGAATGACAGCAGAAAGAGTAGGGAGGGAAAGGCCATCTGGCAAAGTACAGAGCCTGAGCAAAGGCCATCAGGAGATTTCTTAAAGCTCAAGGTTTGAAGAACGAGGTATTAGCCAGGAGCAGCGAGTCAGTGTAAATGACGGCAGACAGGGCGAGTCCGGACAGCCCAGGATCTGAAGTCCCGCCCACGCCCGGCAACGCACAACACTGCCAGTTCGAGGCCCTACCCCCGTCCCGCCCCTCCACCAAAAGATGCAATCAAATCATCCTGCCATGGTGCAACTCGGGCCCCGCCCCTCTCTTCCGAGTTCTAGCCCTCATTTCCCGCCGGGCCCAGGCCTCGCCTCCGTATGGGTTGGGACAATCCGACCTTTCTTGCCGGTCTCTGCTCCTCCCTACTCTACGCCCCTTCTCCGCCTGATACAATCAGAGTTATCCTTAAAAGTCCGCCCAGGCCCCGCCCACGCCACGCCCACGCCCCGTCCGGCCCCCGCCACCTCCCGAGGAGACCTCGCCCTGGCCACGCCCCCCTGCGTTAGGCGCGACCGGGCCTGCCTGCGGACCCCGCCTCTCCCCGCTCCGCCCCTCCCGGGCCCCGCCCCATCCAGCCTCTTCCCTGCGCGGCTCCGGCGGCCGCATCCCGGGACTCTGGCGGGCACGCCGAGCTGCAGCCATGGCTGTGACCGCTGAGGGCGCCCGCAGGAAGGAGCGCGTCCTCTGCCTGTTTGACGTGGACGGGACCCTGACGCCAGCTCGGCAGGTAGGGCCTCGGCGTTCGGAAGCTCGGGTCGGGAGTGTCATGTGGACACCGGAGGCCGAATGTGGGGCCTGCAGCGGCGTGACCGCCAGGCCCCCGAGACCGAGCGTGCGATTCAGCGGTACCCAGCCCCTGACACCCCGGGGGCACCCACTGGGAGTGATGGGCACCTGGGCCCTCATGTCACAACCCGAGGGAGTGCGCGCCCACGTTCTGCCCGGTAGCATCGGGGCTGGGTCGGATTGGAGGGCGGAGGCTGCAAGCGGAGGCCTTTCTGCCCTCCTTACTCCTCCGCCAGGCTTCCACAAGCCAAGGCCTGGCTCCCAGACGCCCCCTCCTCCCCAGCCGGGGTTTCCACCCCAGTTCAACCCTAGGGCGCAAATCCAGGGTTTCAGACAGGGCTTGGAGCGCACCCAGACGTCAGAGTCGCCATCTGCTGGGGGGCCAGGGGTCTCAGAGCCCTCCCACCCGACCGGTGCAGGCCTGGGCCTGAGTCTGGTTTCTCAAGTTCCTCCCCCACTTTACTTCCCACCTCCAGCCTTGGAAGGAGGAAGGGCTTGCTGTACCTTTTCGGTCGAGTATGGGATGGGCTCCGCCTACCTGGAGGTGACAATTCCCAGGCCTAGCCTTGTCACGTTGGGGATATTGTGACACTGAGAGGGTGGGAGTTAGTTCTTCTAAAGACATCTCACCGTGTTGATCCTCCAACCTCTGCTCCACACCATTTTTCTCCCTTTGGAGCTCACCCTGGAGGAGCCCCCAGACCCATCTTCACCAACTGGGTGCTTGGATAAGCCTCATTCTTGCCTGCCCTGAGGGTACCCCCCTCTCCTCCCCCCTCCAATCTGAGGCCACAAGGACCATCTGAGGGATCTCCTAGAACAGGGAGCCAGTAGGGCCTGGTTACAGGACAGAGGCTGATGGGAACACAGGTCTTAGCTTCCCCTCTTAGGTCCTGCATGCCCCATCCCCTCCCCTACGGGAGGGCTCTGGCTTGGGCCCTGGGGGCACAGGGAGGACTCAGGCCACCCTGCCTTCCAGAAGTTCCCAGGGTCCTGAGGGATGGGAGAAAGATGACGGTGGAAGGAGGGCGACAGAGTCTGGGAACAGCCCCAACCCTTTGTCCACTTCCTTGCCCAAGAACGGCACGCTAATGTGTCCACTAATAGTTTTGCCAGACCCTGGCCTTAGTGCTTTTTAAAAGTTAATTTTTAATTATACATATACTCATGAGCGCATTCTCTTGTAAAGAATGAAAACAACCGAGAAGGCTAAAGTTGCCTCTGACTGTGTCAGGATCGAAATTCCTCCCCAAAGTAACCTGGTTGCCTGTCGTGTGGCTCCCTTCCAGACCTTTCTCTGGATCTGTTTGCCCAGAAGAAATATTACGCATTGTTCTTTGAGGCTTTTAAAAAAATAAGCGGTACCATACATCCTACTGTGTGTGCCTTTCTGCAACTTGCTTTTGACCGTTAGCATGTCTCGGGACTCGCTCATGTTGGAAGTACAGGCCTGCCTTATTCTGTGTAACCACAGTCTAATATTTCAGAGCAGGTATGTGCCATTCTCTGATGCACGAGCGTGTAAGTTGTTTGCAGTTTCCTACTATTATACCCCAATGAACTTCCATATACACAAAAGAAGTGGAAATTCCAAGTTACAGGACACATGCATTTTAAGTTTTAGTAGATCTTGCCAGATTACCCTCTAAAATGGCTATACCAATTTACACTCTCACCAGCAGCACTTGAGAGTGCTCGCTTCCCCTACATCGTCGTCCATCTTGATATTGTCAGCTTTGAGTATTTGAATGTTTGAAAACACGGAGTATAAGTCATTAGTTTACATTTCCTTGGTGAGGCGTCTTTTCATCTGATTAGTCACCAGTTAATTGCTTGTTCATTTGCAATCGCTTTGGATGCACTATCTCATTTAATTCTAACAGCGCCCCCTCTTCCAGATGTTGCTACTGTGATCCCCATTTTATAGATGGGACAAAGAAGGCAAAGAAAGGCAAAGCCATTTGCTCAAGGTCATCCTGCTTACATTTCCTTGGTGAGGCGTCTTTTCATATGATCGGTCACCAGTTAATTGCTTGTTCATTTGCAATCGCTTTGGATGCACTATCTCATTTAATTCTAACAGCGCCCCCTCTTCCAGGTGTTGCTACTGTGATCCCCATTTTATAGATGGGACAAAGAAGGCAAAGAAAGGCAAAGCCATTTGCTCAAGGTCATCCTGCTATCGAGGGACTCCAGCCAGAGTTTAAACCCAAGTGCATCTACTTTTTTAAGATCTGGGTTCTAAACCTTGAACTGCCTCAGATCCCCAGGTGGAACATGGGCTTCTCATTCTGAGCACTGAACGAAGGCTAAGTGGAGGTCCCAGATGTGCTGACAGCCAAACTCTTTTGCATCCCTGCCCCACTGCAGAAAATTGACCCTGAGGTGGCTGCTTTCCTGCAGAAGCTGCGAAGTAGGGTGCAGATCGGTGTGGTGGGCGGCTCGGACTACTCTAAGATTGCTGAGCAGCTGGGAGAGGGGGATGAAGGTAGGAGGAGTGGGCCGGAGCCAGCTCCACAGTTGGGGTGGGGGTGGGGGGTGGGAAGTCTGGGAGATCCCTGCACCGATGTGCCTTTAAAGACCCAGTCCTGCTTCTGTGGGGCAAGGGAACTGCCAGAGGGAACTGCCAGATGTTTTCCTGGCCGATTCAGCAACCATTTAGTGAGTACCTCCCATGTGCCAGGCACTGTGCCAGGCTTCGGAAAAACAGCAGGGAGCAAAGCAGGGAGAATCCTGCCCTTATGTAGTTTACATTCTCAATTCTTGCTGCGTTTTGATGTCCTCATCTTTAAAATGGGCATAATCAATAATGGCTGCCGTTTGTTGAAAATAACCATGTGTTAACTTCCTTTCATTTAATCCTCACAATCACACTTCAGGGTGGGTGTGATTATCCCACTTAACAGAGGGAGATTCTGAAGTCACCCAGAAAGTTTTTGGATACAGAATCCCTGTTCTCAGCAGAGTTCCTGATCTCAGCCCAGTCAAGGCCAATGCCTCCAGCTCCTCAAACCAGAAACTTCCTTGAATTTCCTTCTTTCCCACCCTCTTGTTTATTCCATCAGCCAGTCCAGAAATATCTTCCTATGTGTCCATGTCTCCATCTCCACAGTCCCACCATTGTCCAGGTGATCCCCTCCCCCTGGACCCTGAAACAGCCTCCTGGCCGTTTTCCCTGTTTCTCCTCATTCCCGCCACTTCTCATGGCAGCCAGAGCTGAAAACTACCCCATGCAATCAACCTTGCAACACAGTGATGGGAGCTATAAAACAAAACAGAAGCCCCTGTGCAGGGGGCTGTGGGAGCATAAGGGGAACTCCTATGCTGGGGAGTCCTGGAAGGCTTCCAGGGGAGCAGGTGGGATCTTGGAGGGCTGGAGGGGGAAGAAGTGGGAGGGCACTTCAAGCGGAAGGACCTGCATGAGCAAAGGCCCAGAGATGTCACTGGCTTGTTTGCTTGTCTGGAAAAAGCCAGAGTTGCAAAAGGTGAGACTAGAAAAGGTTTGGGTGGAACAAATGGGCTTTGAATGACAAACCAAGGAGTGTGGGCTTCATCTCTCTCCTTGGCTCTGGGTACCTGGTCTCACTCTCTCCCCTTCTCCCTTGGCCTCTGTGTGACCCTGAAGTCATTGAGAAGTTTGATTATGTGTTTGCTGAGAACGGGACAGTGCAGTATAAGCATGGACGGCTGCTCTCCAAGCAGGTCAGTGCCCCCCTGGGCCTTAGCCCAGGACACTTTTCCACAGTGAAACAGTCCACGGGTGCCTTCTGTCCTGGGGGGGAAGGGCACCGTGCCCTCCATGCTCAGAGCCCTGTGACCCTTGCCCAGACCATCCAGAGCCACCTCGGGGAGGAGCTGCTGCAGGACTTGATCAACTTCTGCCTCCGCTACATGGCCCTGCTGCGGCTGCCCAAGAAGCGGTGAGACCCCGCCCGGCCTCGTGCCCAGCCTCGCCTCCCAGTCTCGGGCCTGGGGAAGGGGAGGGTTTCTCTGGTGGGACCTGGTGGGTGGGTTCTTGTCTCCTGTCAAGTCCAGACGAGGCTGGATTGAATTCAGGGCCTTTCTCCTTCTCTCTGGCTCCCCCACTGTCCCTCCCCCCGCCATCGCCACCAGTGGGACCTTCATCGAGTTCCGGAATGGCATGCTGAACATCTCGCCCATCGGCCGGAGCTGCACCCTGGAGGAGAGGATCGAGTTTTCCGAACTGGACAAGGTGCCACCAACTGTGCAACCTTAGGCTGTAGAACCTCAGGCGCTCAACCTCTCTGAGCCTTTATTTTCTCATCAGTGCAATGGGTTGGTTGGGGGTGGGTGTTCTGATAGAACCAATACCCTTTTGGACGCCTCCCGTGTTCCGTGGTTGGAGGGCCACGTGTATCTTTTCAGCATCGCTGGTTTCCCTCCCCTGGTGACAGGCACCACCAGCCACCTACTTACCTAAGCCAAGCCCTTGGGCACCTTCCCACCCACAATAGGTTCAACAGTCATTGCTGTTGATTCAGCCTGCAGGGTTGGTCTCAGATCTGTTCACTCGTGTCCCTCCGCTCCCCCGCTCCCGCCCCCATTGACCCCTGCCAGTCTGTTCGCCGGCGGTGCCATGGAGAACCTTTTAAAGTCCTCTCCCCACTAACAGTCCTTCCATGGCTCCCCTTGCCAACTGGACAATGTCCCAGCCTCCCGCCTTGGTGCTCTCCCCTCTGAGGGGTCTGCCTGGCTCAGGCCCAGCTCTTCAGGCTTCCCTCTGCGTCTGTGCTTGGAACATACCAAGGTCTCTCTTGCCTTGGGATATGCTGCTCCCTGTTAAACCTTGACTTGCATTTTGCTTGTCATCCTGGGCACCACCCCCTCCCTTAGAGATGGAGCACGTCCATCTAACCAAGCCTTTTCACGCTGGCCCATCCCCGTCCTCTCCGACCTCTCTGACCTTCCGCTCTCCTCCTTTCATTCCCTGCTTGGCCATGTCCTCCCTGCTGATGCTAAAGCAGGCAGGCGTCTCCCACGCTCCCACTTCAGGGCTGTGCCTCCTGCCCTCAGAAGCGGTTCGCCGTCTCACCTCCTTTGCATGAGCTCAGATGCCACGTTCTCGGTGGGGCCTTCCCCAAGCATTACATTTAACGTTGCACCCCTTGCACCTCCCACTCCTCTGATTTCTCCTCAAGCAGCCATCGCCACCCTCTTAATATATCGTGTCACCTGGTGGTTGTCTGGTTCCCCCACCAAAGCTGTCAGCTCCTTTAGGGCGGGCGTTTCTCCGGCTGTTCACCTCTGGATCCCTGTGCTCAGCACATGCCTGGCACATGACAAGGGCTCGAGAAATACTTTTTGAATGAATGAAATAGGTAGTGCAGTCCCCATTTTATGAATGAGGAAACCGAGGCTCAGAGAGGGGTAGTGACTTGCCCAAGGTCACATGGGGAAATTGGTTTGCAAGGCACAAATTTGAGGAGGGGTGGGACTTTCTGTGATGCCTCCCAGCTCACTGACCTCCACCCCCACGGCCACCCTGTGTCCACAGGCTTAGGAGGCAATGCCCGCGTGCATGGAGACTTCGCGTGGCACCTTCTCAGGCCACTCAGGTTTCCGATCCCGGCTCCACCTCTGCTTGCCGAGTCGCCTACCATGTGCCATGGTGGCAGACATGCATTTACCTTTTCACCACTACTGGTTTCCCACCCCTGGTGACGGGCACTGAGCCAACCGCTTGGGCCCCCTTTCCACCTTCCCACAAAAAAAATGGTTCAGCCTGCAGGGTTGGGCTCAAGTCCATCCCTGTGTGTGTCTGTCCTCTCCCCCCGCCATGAAGCCAGTCTGGGAAAGCGGCTTCTATGCTGTGTATCTTTGCTTTCTCACCTGTAAACTGGGGATAATCATAGTTCTCATCTCCTGGGCTGTAATGAGGACTGGACGAGATGGAAGCCTAGCAACACTGACTCTGCCCACCACCCCCAGGGTCTTCTCTGTCTCTCTGGCTCTTATTCGCCTGTTTCTGGTGTTGGAGAAGGGCATGGACCTCCTGGTCTCCTGTGTTCCCTGCACTGGCCCAGATGGCACATAAATGCTTTACTCTCCTTCATTCCCCTAGACCCTGAGGACAAGAAGTCCCCTTCCTTAGGTGGGGATACTGAGGCCAGAGGGTGACCAGCTTGAGGACACAGTGTGAGTCTGCTGAGGCTAGACTTGGCACCTGGGGCTGTCCAGTGACTAGCCTGGTTCTCCAAAGACAGAAGGCACAGCCATCCTGGGCCATACGGGAACATTTATTCTTGAAGTCATGCAACTTGCCCGTGGTCACACAGCCCGGAGGCACAGCAGCTGGGCCTAGAACCCAGGCATCCTGCCTTTGTCTTTCAGGACGGGTCACATTGGCCTTAGAGCTCATGTCCTTCCTGGACCACTCCTCCAGGCTCCAGAGCGCTGGCCACCGCCCGCCTCTCTTGCCATAACAGTCTCACCCAACTCTTTGACTGACTAAAACGCGGGACTAGGCACTATGCTCCTGTGCTGCGAAATCCTCAGTGGCTTTTGGTCCCCCAGGATGTATCCACTTCCCAACCAGGCCTCCAGGCTCTCTGCGAGCTGATCACCCCGCCGAGCTCTCACCGCTGCTTCGGCCACATGGGCACTCCATACCTCGGCCACAGCGAGCCTGCAGTGCGTGAGCCATTCGCTCCTGTGGTGCTGGCCCCCATTAGCAAAGCATCTGAAACAGCTGTCCCTCTAGGCCTGCCGTGGCTGTTCCCCATTCTGGCCCCAGCAGGGCCAGGCTAGGGATCCTTGGGCTAGTGAGCAAATGTCCCTTTACTCTATGTTTGTAGGTATGCTACAGACTTTCAAGGTCCTGCCAAAGGGGAGGGAGGGACTGGGGACTGGGGAGGCACTGTGGGGAATTGCGGGGTTGGTTCTATGGCTGTGTCTGGCATCCTGCTGACCTCCCTCTGAGCACCCACTGCCACTTATTCACAGATCTTCACATGCTCTTGGCTCCTCATGCTCATTTCTAGTGTCTGAGCCATGGTTTCGTTGAACTGGACAGAGCTGATGGGGCAGAGCCCTGTCCTGAGGTGGACTCTGACTTGGGACTCAGATTGCCCTGTCCGAGCCTCAACTCCAAGGCGTCCTTCAGAATACCCGGCCCACATCCCCACTGGTGGGAGCTGGCAATGAATTTAGTCATGGTCCTTCTGGATTCAGGCCCTGGCTCTGCCTCTGAGGCTGGGTAACCGTGAACTCTGAGCCTCAGTTTCCCATCAAGTAGGGGTCGTGATATCCCCTTGGAAGACTCAGTGAGCTCACACGAATTGTGTGCCCAGCACAGGGCCTGGCACATAGCAGCCCTCTGAGCCTCAGTCTGCTCCCTTCCCTCCTACAGAAGGAGAAGATCCGGGAGAAGTTCGTGGAAGCCCTGAAAACTGAGTTTGCTGGGAAAGGGCTGAGGTTCTCCCGAGGTACGTCCACAGCTTGCAGGGCCTGATGGGCCCGGCGCAAGAGCCGCCTGCCAGGGCCTCACTCCCAAGGCCAGCTGCAGTCCCCAGAAACTCCTCCCACCCCTCTGGGCAGACAGGGGCGGGCTGAGCCTAAACAGGCAGGGACTCCCTAGGTCAGGGCCCCCAGTCTTCCCCACCTAAACCCAGTCAGCACCCCACCACCCCCCCGGTTCCGGCCAGAAACCGAAGCGTCTCCCTTGCGTTTTCTCCCTCACCCTTTCGCGAGTCCAGTCTACTAGTGAGTCCCAGGGCCCTATGTCCAGAATACTCTGGAATCTGACCATCGCTCACACCTCCACTGCCAGCAGCCTCATCCCAGGCCCGTCTGGATAACCGATGCATCAGGTCTCCCCCTGCCACCTCCCCTGACAGCCCAGAAAAATCCTGGGAAAACAGACCATGTCATAGCCCTGCTCAGAGCCCTCCAAAGGCTCCTCCTCACTCGGAATGAAACCCACGACCAACTCCCTGGACCCCGGGGCCCACATCCCTCACCTCTGCCCTCTCCAGTCCTTCTCTGTCACTGGGACACTCCATGTCCTTCCCTGCCTTGGGGACCATACTCTCTGTGCCAGGGCTTGGAATTCTCTAGCCATTGCCACTCTGGCTCAGGTCTCAGCTCAGTGTCACCTCAGAGAGGTCTCCCCTGATCACGCTGGCTGGAGAGCTTCTCTTCCCCCACCTCGCTGACTTAATGCTCCGAGGTGGTCTGGCGTGTTTATCGCCTGTCCCGCCTGCATCATAACTCCCATGAGGACCCGAGTCTGTCCCCTGCCCTGTGCCTGGCACTCAGTAGACACTCAAGGGTTGTTGAATGGCTCTGCTGGCTTGTCCGCCTGCCCCCACAGGAGGCATGATCAGCTTTGACGTCTTCCCCGAGGGCTGGGACAAGCGCTGCTGCCTGGACAGCCTGGACCAGGACAGCTTCGACACCATCCACTTCTTTGGGAACGAGACCAGCCCCGTGAGTGTGGCTCAACCCAGGTCTTTCCCACCCCAAGTCACCCCCAGGTCAAGGCCAGGTGACACTGGGTGACAGAACAGAACTCCTGAGAGACTCCCAGAAAACAGCCGGTGTTTACCAGCCCCATTACACAGATTGGAAGGCTGGGGCCCAGAGCTGGCTGGACACTTGCCCCATGTCACACAGCAAGGCAGGGCAGACCTGGTGAAGGCTGAGAAGGGGGGCTTTCTGGAGGTTCTGAGGGGACAGGAGGAGGGGCAGCTCTGCAGGAGCCAGTGGGGGGAGGGAACCCCATGCCAGGGTGGGTGCTGGGCCCCAACCCTGGGAGCCTCATCCAGGCACCACCTGTGTATGCCCTCTCTGCCCCTCCTCTGCACAGGGTGGCAATGACTTTGAGATATATGCTGACCCCCGGACTGTGGGCCACAGCGTGGTCTCCCCTCAGGACACGGTACAGCGATGCCGCGAGATCTTTTTCCCAGAGACAGCCCATGAGGCATGACCGGGACGTCCAGAGACCTCCGCCCAGTCCTGAAGAGAGCCCCCGGCCCAGGATACCTGCCTCACACGGCCTGCTGCAAGGCCCACCATGACGAGGCAGGGTCTACGTGGACGACTGTCCCCAGCAGTCAGCTCCCGGTGGGACTGGCTCCGTCCTCCACCCCGATGGCACTGGCCACAGCTGCTGCTTGTACTTGTGAACAGAACGGGTTTCTGTCTACACTGGGAGGAGGTGTGTGAATGTTGGTACGAGACAGAGCCCGCCCTGCCTGCCTGTCGCAGACGGGCGCAGAGCAGCGGGGAAGGTACGGTGTTTGCTAGAACTTTATCACATACATTAAAGTTACTGGAACAAGGTATGGCGTCAGTTCTGAGTGGATAACTGGCCCCAGTCACAGATGCTATTGCGGCCACCACTTTGCAAATGAGGAAACAGGCACAGGTGGCGGGGACTTGCCCCAAGTCACACAGGAAGTCTTTGATCCAGTCAGGGAGGGTGGGCCAATGAGACCCCAAACAAGGGCTGATTTAGGGTGTTCTCCCCGCAGCCCCTTCCCCCGGGATCCCAGACAGACAGAGGCATCTCTGGGCCAGGCTGAGTCACAGTTGAGGGTTTATTGCCAGTGTCAGGAAAGATGGGGGAGTCCGGGAGGGTGGGGGGTCAGGAGGGTTTCTGACTGGACGCCGCGGGGCTGTGAGTGAGGAGCGCTGCTCCCGGCTGCCACGCCAGGGGCCCCCAGGCTGATGTTCCCACGTCCTACCTCCTGGCTAGTGCCTGAAAAGGGGGGTCCACTCACAGGAGGGGCGTCTTGTGGGGCTCCCAGGAGTCAACCTGTACTGTTAAATCTCCACTAAGGAGGCCAGGGAGCCCTTATTTCTCAGGGGAAGGGCCTCAGGCTTTTCCGGAATAGCCGCAGATCAGAATAGGGTGTCAAGCTGGGCCATTCTCTGTTTAGGGGGGTTGCTGGCCAACACATCTCAGCCACTCTGGGCTCCCAGCCTGTGGTGGGGACAGGGGGCAGGGGTGGGACACATATTCCAGCTGATCTTTACCCTGGGGCCTTAAAGGGCTGGGGATCTTAAATAGTCACCGACCCCCTCATCTTGGGCTGTTGAGCCCCATTTCTGTCCGCCCCCCCACCATCAGATGTGCTCTCTGGCATGTAGTGGGGGACATGGAGGGAAAGTCCTCCTTCCTGGCCTCCCAGGCCAGGCCAACCCCCACCTGAGAGTGAACGCACACAACACATATCTCAAGGGACAGACAGCACAGGAATCACAACTCAGCCACTGGCTTGGGGGCCAGTGGGAGCCACCGTCCTGTGGTGTTAGGAGGGTCCAGAAAGGGGGCTGCAGGGCTGGTGGCCTCCCAGGCTCAGCCATTCTCGTGGGTGCCCCAGCCTGGCCCTGCCTGAGGGGACGTGTGTCCACACGTCGCTGGGCCCTCAACAGCCACCGTGGCTGGGCGTGGCCAGAGCATCAGTGGGGCTTGTGTCAGGGCAAAGGGGATGGCTCCGTCTAAGCTGGGGAGACGTGTCCCCACCCCTTTGCAGACCCGTGCCTCCCGGGCACGTGGAGGCAGCATGGCTCGGTGCGGCCCAGAGGAGGAGATGCAGCCTCATTTGGGGGTTCGCAGAGCGATTGCCAGGCTGAGGAGGAGGGACTGTGGCTAGCGACACTAGAGCCCCCAAACTGCCTTCTGCCCTCAGACCCCTCTGTCCTGCCTGTCCAGGGTGAGTGCTGAGGAGGGAGGAGGGGGAAGGAAGGCTGGGCCATGGCGCTGAGGGGCGGCCTGCCTGCCTCCACCTTTCACCCGCTTCCCTTTCCAGGGGCTGGGAGGCCCTGGGAGGCCTCACAAAGTGCTCGCTGGCCTGGTTTCTGAGGGGTGGGGTCCAGGCCACTGTGGGGGGCCTGGCCCAGGGTGGGAGGTGTGAGTAGCTCAAGCACGGAGTCTAGCCCTGAGCCAGGGCCTCGGGTGGAGGCAAGTCAGCAAGCTTATTCCCGCAGGAGCCTGCGGTGCCTCCTGGCTCCCAGCCCCAGGCCTGACGCAGGCCCTCAGAGGCTCAGTGGAGACGTGGACAGTGGGCAGAAGGGCGAGAAGGTCCTGTGCCCATGTGGCAGGGAGAGGAGGAAGGAGAAAGAGTGGACAAGGAGAGAAGGCAGGTCTGGTGGCCTCTTCCTTGGTCCAGCTCATACAATAGTCACGGGTCACAGGGGTGGTTGGAGGCAAACGCTCAGGGCCACAAGCACAGACAGACAGACGTGCACACTGAGGCCACCTGGGAGACTGAGTCAGCCAGTGCAGTAGGGCAGAGAGCCAGCTGCCACCCGCCCATCCACCCTTGGGGGGCTCCCTGCCCGGCCTAGGAGCCCACGACCTGGCCGGACCATGTCTCGTGGGGAGTGTGTGGGGCCAACTGGGTGAGCACCACCTCCACAGCCTGGAACTTCTGGTTCTTGGGCGGGATGGGGCACATCTTGTAGGTCACCTCGTCGCCCTCCACCGGCACGTACTCGCCCTCGATGCTGGTGAGCAGGAGAGGAGCATCAGCCCAGCAGCAGGCTCCTCTTCCCAGACACCCCCTGTGACCTAGCTTCCCTCCTCAGGGCCTCAGCCCTCTCATCTGTAAAATGGGAATCATAAACTGTCCCTTCTTCTCTGTGTTGTTTGGGGATTAAGTGAGATGTGAGAGGGCATTGGGAGGTCCTTAAGGCTTTAGAGAACCTCGGTGACCTCCCTAAGTCATGCCTGCCATTAGGGCTGGGACACAGGCCCAGACCCACCTCTCCCCGCTAGCCTACCCACCTGAAGGCCCCTTCCAGGCAGAAGGGGCCAAGGGCTGGCCCAGCCCTCTCAGCCTCCTGTTGCTAGGCAGGATCCCAGGGCCCAGCCAGTGGTTCCCAGGGCTCCAGAGGTCTGAGTCGCCCCTCCCCACCTGCCCCAGCCCTCCCCATCCCGTGTGTCCCCAGCCCCTATGAGAGGAGACGATGCCAGGAGCACAGACCTCAGCCAGTGAGGGGAGAGGCATGGGGGGCCTTCCTGGAAGCGCTGCTGGGCCGGGCCGCGGACCGGAAGGGGGGAGGGAATCACCAGGATGGAGGGTGGGGGCGGGACTCACTCAGATACATGCACGAAGATGTCCTCGGACCCATTCTCGGGGGTGATGAAGCCGTGGCCCTGTGAGCGTGAGAACTGCTTGCAGACGCCTTTGAACACAGGGCCAGCAGAGGCACGAGCTGTCCTGAGGATAGGGAAGGGGGGTTGGAGCTGTAGCCTGGGGACCCCCACAGTCCTCCTGGGCCCTGCCTGCGGAGCCTGCCTCAGGACTGCGGGGAAGGCTCCCCGGGCCAGAAGCCGCAGCTATGCTAGCTCAGTCCTCTCATCATGCCATTTGACAGACAGGCAGACTGAGGCTCGGAGAGGGGCACTGGCTCTCCCAGGGTGCTCAGCATATGAGTCTCCTGACTCCCAGCCAGCACCCCTCTCTCTGCACAGAACCCTCCCCTGCTCACTACCTCCTGAAGCAGTGATATCCTCGTCACTCATTTCTCACTCATCTGTTCATCATTTAACATCTGCTCTGTGCCTGGCCTTGGGTTGGGTGCAGGAGACCATCAGCACTTGCCGTAAAAATACCTCCTCCTTTGGCCAAGCTAAGTCAGTCTCCCTGTGGCTGACAAACCCCCTCCACCATTTTACCCGACCCAGTGACTGACACCAAAGGCCCAAGGCTAGTCTCCATCCGGCCTGCTCCAACGGTCAACCCCATGCCACCGTTTTTGCCCAGGCTGCTCCATCTTCCAACTTCCTTCTTCACCTAATGTATCTTCCAAACCCATCATCTTCCCTAATGCCCAATGCTGGGCCCTCACATCCAATTCTGCCAGGGAGCGAATGGTGAATGATTTCCTCTGGATTGTATGCAGCTTGTGGGCTGCCACTTTGTCTTACTCATCACTGCTCAGGAGCTCAATAAATCTTTGTGGAATAAATGAATGAATAAATGAATGAATACTAGCAGTTACTGGAAAGACTGCTTGGCTGAGCTCCCCCATCCTCAGGAGAAGACAACAGGGCTTGGAGAAGGACAGGGCTGGAACCCTGTCCTGGGAAAGACCCCTGGAGCCTGGGCGAGGGATAGATACTCACGCCGAATACGTCCTGGTCCGTTTGGTAGGCAGAGGACTGGGTAGGTCCCGCGATGTGACACTGCTCCGCTCCCAGACCCTGCTGCCCTCCCGGTGGAAGGGGAAGGTCGGCCAGACAGGGGACTTAGGGGAGTGGAGCGGAGGCACGACGGGGGGCGACGTGGGCTCCGAAGTCATGGTGGGGCCAGCAGGAGAGCCCGAGGGGCTCCCGGGCACGGGGGCCGGTGAAGGGCTTGGGCGTCCTTGCGGGCAGGGCCCGGCCTGGCCCTGCTCGGCAGCCTCACCAGCCACAGGCTCCGTCTGGAAGAAGAGTGAAATAGAGGTGAGCGTGGGCCAGAGTGGACAGCTTCTGGACACTGGGCACAAGTCTGGAGGACGGCGCCTGCTGCCATGGCCCTCCCCCGACTCAGTGTCCTCACCAGAAAGACCAAACGGTTCTATGACCTTGCTATGGACTGAATCATGGTCTCCTAACATTCACGCATCGAAGTCCTAACCCCCAGTGTGACAGCGTTTAGGGATGGGGCCTTTCCGAGGTAAGTAGGTTCAGATGCGCTTAGGCTCTAAGACCAATTTCAAAGTTCTTCCAGCTTCACGTTCAATTCTCTAACTCTGGAGTCTGGAGGCAGGATGGGTGAAGTGGCCGAAGACGGTCTGGAACACAATTTGGCACAATTGTTAGCAGTTTCAAATCCACAGACCTGGGTTCGAATCTCGGCTTTGTCATTTGTAACTTGGTGACCTCAAGCAAGCCACTTAACAGTTCCAACATGGTGGGTTGGTGTGTAGGCTCTGGACCCAGATGGTCTGGGTTTGAATTCTGGCTCCTCTACCTACCAGCTATGTGGCCTTGGTCAACACCCTTAACCTTGGACCCAGTCTCCTGCTCTGTGAAATGGGGATAGTGCTGGTTCTTCCTTTATAGAGAGGTTGCTGTAAGTATTGAATGACTTTCTACCTGCTTTAGAATGGGACAAGGGCACGGTGAGCTCTTGGGAAGGTTGGTGATTTTTCCTGAGCTCCATTTCCTCCTCTCTAAATTGAGGATGAGAATACTTACCATGCAAGATTGCTGAGGATTCAAGGATTTAGTGTGTGTGACAGCATCTGGCATCTCGTAGATACCCAGTAAATTGATATTATCAGTGCTGATCAATAGAAATTCTCATATCGACAGCTCAACGCTTAGATGACCTTGAAAAATTCATCCTACATTTTCATCTACTGAGGAAGAGAACATAGTTTCCCCACCCATGCACCCCACTCACCTTCCCCTCCACCCTCCAGGGGTTGGGAAGTCTTGGATCCCAAGAGACACCGCTTGGAACCCTGAGGAGGACAGCTCAGTGTATGTATGAGTCAGGCTGTTGACTGAGGCTGGGGCAGGTGGCCCACCACGGCGGGGCCAGGCAGGACACCTGGATGAGCTGGGGAGCTCCAGTTCGGCTGCATATTAGCTACTGACCTTGGGTAGCACTTTACTGACCTCACCTGTTTCCTCACCTGTACAATGGAGCTGATAAACCCTGCCTCATCCCTGCAAACTGTGATGGGGCTTGACTAAGCCTGGGGATATAAAGAGCTCCCGGAGTCCGTGATCATATAAGAATGAGGGCGACGTGTTCACCACTTCCTCACCCGCTTCTTTCAATTTCCCAACCCCTCAGCCAAAGGCTCTGGGGTCAGAGGTGAATCCCTAAGCTGCAAGTCTATTTCTGGCCTCCATCTGGG